CTGTCCCACCCCCCTTGCTACGCACAGTTTAAAAATTTGTTGGTCAAATTGCTTGATTTTGATTTTGGCCTTTTCCCCTTCTCAACAGATTTCATCACACCAGTTGTGGATTTTGGATCAGTAGGACTTTGTGTGCTCCCTCCCCTGACCAAAAAGACAGTTTAAAAGTAAAAGTAAAAACTGAGGATATACATTTGATCCTGGTTGCAAAGGGAGGACCCTTAAAATAACCAGATCATCTTGTTATTGCTATGTATCTCCTGGTCTCTGCACTTGGTTTCTTTACATCTCAGTGCCTTGTATGCTGCTTGGGAAAAGATGGGTGCAAGGCAGTGGAATGTGGAAGAAGAAAAAGAATCAAGCACCGCAATCAAAAGTTGCTTTTCCCCTCTAATGTGGTCTAGCATGATTGTGATACCAAGACAATGTCCCTGTTTGTCTGGGCATATAGCAACATAGCAGCCTATGCCTGGGCCTTAAGGATGGTTGCAGAGGTCCTGCTCGTACAACCAAAGTCAGATGAGGCACAAGTGATAAGGTCTTTTCAGTGGTAGCCCCACATTTGTGGTACTTCATCCTGTTTGGCTCCTCTTTCTCTCTGATTTTAAGAGCACGCTGCTGTATCAAGCCTCAGTCCCATCTAGTTCAACACTCTGTTCTCTCAGTGGCCAACCAGCTGCCCATGAGCCTTAAAGGCCTTTTTACTTAGATTTAAATAAGTTAGACCTGATATATAGATCCACTTAAAGATGTTGTGCTGGGTTTTAAATTGTTGCTGGTTTGTCTGATAATTTTTTACCTCGATTGCTGCACTGAACCAGGGTGTTTTATGCTTCTAGATTCCCATTTGCCAGAGTCCTGTTCTGGACATGGAACAAATAAGGGCAATTTGGGGTAAGGGGAACTGGCAATTTGCCTTCCCATTTCCACTGGAATACTAAAACATCCCTAGCAGGAGATGGGGAGAGCTGCTATCTGAGATCCTGGACAGCTACTGTCATTCAGACTAAACAATACAGACTAGATGGATGAATAGTCTGCTCAGGTATAAAGCAGCTTCCAGCATCTAGTTTGCATCAAAGGACCTGGAGAAATTGCTGCAGGATTTAAGTGGAGTGTGGAATTTCAAGTGGGATACCTGGTGAAGGGACATAGGAGATTAGAAGAAGACACTTTGCCTGCCTTGACCCATTTTTCCATTCAGTGAGATATTAGCCTGGTGAACAGAGCACCTTTCCTCCCCTGCTTGTCCCAGTGCACACCTGCTGCTATATTAGGCCTTAACAGGGAAGAGACCGTTTCTCCCTGAAGCGTGCCAGCACAGAGCGTGGAATGGAAATAAGCAGGGGGCCTTTGGGGGCAGAGGCTCTCTGGAGGCACCAGACTCTTGTTTGTGCCTTTCAGAAAATGCTGAGCTCATTGCCCCAGAGACAGCAGCTCGCAAGCCCAGATTTCTGTCATGTTCAGGTACAAGAAGCACAGGCTAATGAAAGCCAAAGGTTTAGGGCTGCTTTATACAGGCCAACAACCACCCCCAGGTCACTCCCCGCCTATCCCTGAGTACCAGGTAAAGGTAAAGGATCCCTGGACAGTTAAGTCCAGTTGAATTGGACTATGGGGAACGGTGCTCATCTCCACTTTCAGGCCGAAGGAGCCGGCATTTGTCTGCAGAGTTTTTCCAGGTCATGTGGCCAACATGACTAAACCGCTTCTGGCACACGGAACACCTTGACAAGTGTCGGGGCACAGCACTGCATTGGCACACTCCTGCTACAACTCAGCAACCACTGCAGCTCTTAAAATCCTTCAACCAACATTGTGGAAAGCACAGGGATGAAGCTTTGGAGGCAGAATATAAGAGCCCTGCTGGATCAGGCCAAAGGCCCATCTTGTCCTGCATCCTGTTCTTGCACTGACCAATCTGATGCCTTTGGGAAACCTTAAAGCAGGACAAAATGCAACAGCACTTTCCTCACTTGTGACAATCACAGGCACCTTGCCTCCGACAGTGGAGGTAAAACACAGTCATCATGGCTAGTAGCCAATAGCCATTGACATTAATATGCCCAATCCTTTTTTAAAGTCACCCACAGCAATTACATTGGCGACCAACGTTGCTTCCTGTAGGAGCCACATCCAGTTTAACTATGTGCTGTTACTTTCTTTTGTCTGCCTTAATCTTCAGCTTCATTTGATGTCCATAAGTTCTAGCGTTAGGGGAGAGGGAGAAAAACTTGCCTCTCTTCACTGCCATGCATACCTTTCTCCTCTTCTGTCATGGGATACTGGACTTTATTTCAGTGCACAGTCCTGTATCTGAAATGCAGGAACCAAGTAGTGGAAGCGTCTGACGTGGACTGAAGTTTCCTCCATCATTCTAACCATAATGTTTAACTTCTGTTTCCCACCTCCTCAACATAGCCCAACCATCTTTAGGTATCATCAACAGGAGAAAGGCCCAGGGGGGTAAAACAGCAACAATTTCCCGTACAGAACCTGTGCCTCAAGTGATTAAAGTAGTTTAGAGGATCTGGCCTGAGCAGAAGCTGACTGTCCAATCCAGCTAGGATTTGGCCCATTCAAGAAAAATACCAAAAGAAAGAGACATTTGAAAACTGAATAACAAGCAAGATCTGTGCCATAGCGGCGGATGTTTACCCCAAGGTTGGAAGCAGCCATTGTACCTTCATGCCCTGGGCATGTGGCAAATGTGTAGAGGGTGCCAGGAGATGTATCAGAACTGCAGCCACGCTATGGAAGGGCTTAATTGGGCTAGAAACAGAGGTGGGTGTCGAGGGCTCAGGAGAGGTTTTAAGCAAAAAGGCAGATTAATTACATTATGGGCAAGCAGCGCTGGGAACACAGAGCTGAAATCCAAGCAAAGCCGTTAATACCCTTAATGGGGGGAAACATGTGCCAGTTAGCACACCCTCTCTCCTCCTCTCCCACTCTCCCCATCCAACACCAGAATGCATATATCCAGTGTCCTATAGCTGCAGACACACCACAGAGTTAAAGCACACACCTGGCTCCAACAACCCTGGGCACTGGAGTTTGTTAAAGGGCGCTGGGAATTGCAGGTAAACTGTGAAGGGTACACTATGGTTCCCAGGATTCTTGGGAAGAAGCTGCGTACTTTATAAAGGACTGGCACTCAGAAGCAAGATTGCTACTAGCATGTATAAAGAGGATGGTGTGCCTGAACAATAAAAACTTTTGGAGGTTTGATATCCTTGTAACAAAAATGTATTTTTAAAAAAATGCCAAGGAAGACAGCTCTCACTCCAGGAGGCATGGGATCCGCTTATGTTGCAGTTCTCTGAGCCCTAAACGCTGACTTCTTCCAGGTTAAGTGCGATCTGGATCACAAGACACGACAGGCAGAAAGGCTCCCGGCAGCAGCACCCTGCAGGAACGGCAAAAGCCACCACACAGGACAAGGCAAGAGAAATGTAAAGTGCCTTTTAATATAAATATATAGATACATTTGAACAGCTGACACCAGCAAAAAGGGAGGCCCAGGACTTCCATTGCTTACACATTTGTCGTTCCACGTCTTGGCCAACAGATACCTGTGTGCTGGGAACAGAGGGGATCTCTGAACTGAGACTGGGCTGCACAGGCAAGGCAGCCCTGGGCACCCCCTTTAGGAAAGTGCTACCTCCAAAAAGCCCATCTCCACAAGGAAAAGAATAGTGCAGAAGTATATTCAGGATATGATCTTGTGAATGGTAAGAGCATATACCACCCCTTCCCCACCCTGGTGCCCTCTGGCTGTTTTGGACCACAACTCCCATCAGGGCTGATGGCATCATCACCCCTAAACATCTGGAGAGCACCAGGTTGAGGAAGGCTGCCACAGACCCCCTCTCACTGGCAAAATAGTTGGTGGAGGGTGCTCCGTTTATCATCAGGTCCAAACCAGCTCCCCTGCCAGCTGATCCTGGTGGGTGGAAAGCATGTCTGGAAGGGCACTGGGCTGGGAAATGACCTACCCATGGGGAAATGCTATACTTTGGAGGCTTAAGATGTCAAAAACCCTGCAGAGAAGTAGACAGCAGATGAAACTTAAGTGACTGCTGTTATCCAATGCAAAGGGTAACCTGGAGGGCTTGAACTTCTAGGGCAGAGAATTATATAATTGCCAGATAAATATACTGCAGCACCCACCTGCAGCCAGTATAGATCCCTAAGTTGTCCCAGCTCACAGGCGACAGCTGTGCTCCCACTCGATCAGGTACACAGAGTGCTGCAGGACGGGGGAAGGCTAGGACAAGAGTGCTGATGTCATGTCACATCCACACACACTACCTTTGGCACTCTCGGGGACACTAGTCACTCAGCAAGGATGCTGTAAGCAGCTGGATGTACTGATGCCTTTCTTACTGGAATAAGGAAGCAGGGAGGCAGTGGCTTTGAGATATTACCCCTAGGCAGAGTTTCTTGGGTGGTACAGGATGGGGAAGGACCCAGATTCCATCAGAGGGCGAACATCTGCTTTGCATGCAGAAGGTCCCAGGTTCCATCCTCAGCATCTCCAGTGACGGCTGAGGGAGACTTCCTAGCAGAAACCCCGGAGAGCTGCTGCCAGTCAGTGTGGGCAATAATGAGCTAGATGGACCAATAGTACAAGGCAGCTTCCTATGTTCCTAGCATGAGGCTGGGGAGCAATGGAGACAGACACAAGGGGCAGTGTAGGCAGGAGAACAGGGCACTAGAGCTACCGCAAAGTGCCGGCTGGTAAAAGTAGGGCACACGGGGACAGGAAGAGCACCATTAACCCAACCCAGCCTCTTTGAGCAGGGCAAGACACAAGGCAGGCAAGCCATGGCATCCTGCCTCTTCCACCCAGTGGGCCTTTTGCCCCCGTCATCAGGACACACTGAGCACCGCTGCCGACTGCCAGGCCTGATCCCAATTTCCCTGGCAGGCAGCGGTGCTGGGCCACTGGTCTGCACTGTGGTGGACAGGAGGGAGGGAGGCCTCCCACTGCTCCCTGACTAGGCAAAGGGCACCAAAGCCAAGAGAGCCACAAGAGTCAGGCTGCCCACAAAGCTGGGCCGAGGCAGCCAGGCTTCCCCCCGCAAGGTCTCCTTGTTGGTCTCATCCATATCCGAAGCCCTCCCGCTGCCGGCCAGCTGGGCCCGTGAGCTGCAGAGGTCGTGAAGGTTGCCTTGGAACTGGATCTTCCGGGACTCCTGCCGAAGAGACTCCCAGATTTTCGCTGCCTCCTCGGGGCACCTGGACAGAACCTGAGTGGCACAGGTGTGGAAGTCATCCCAGGACCTGCAAGAAGAGGAATCTGCATGAGGAGCAAGCAAGGCGCCCCACAGAAGCAGCAGCAGCAGCAGGGGAGCTTCAGCTAGGCCTGAGGTGGGGAAGTGGTAGGCCTCCGGATGTGGCTGGGACTCCAACCCCAATCAGCCCCAGCCAGAATGGTGAATGGCAGCCTTTGCCAACCTGGTGGACTCCAGGTGTTCTGGATGACAACTCTCATCAGCCCAGCCTGGCTGTTGGGCACCTGGTTGGCTTAACCACATAGCTGATGGCTACAGACCTGCCCCTATGACTATAGTCGCTCTGCAGCAATCTTTAAGAACCACTGAGAGTCTGTGTGGGGTAGTGATTAGACTGCTGAGCTAAGACTGAGAGGAGCCAGGTTCAAACTCCACTGAGCCATGATGTTGATTGGGTGGTCCTGCTTGCGTATTTCCAATGGGCATCTAGCTGGCTACTGTAGGAACAGGATGCTGAACTAGATGGGTCTTTGGTCTGATCCAGCAGGGGTCTTCTCATGTTCTTATCCTAAATCAGTCCCATTCTCTTAGCCCAATGTAGCTTAGAGGGTTGTTCTGAGAATAAAATGTGGTGGGCAGGGAAGGGAACGTAAGGGGACTTTGTCCAGTGCTATGAACTCTTTGGAGAAAGAGCAAGGCAAAGATGTAAGAACATAAGAAGAGCCATAATGGATCAAAGCAAAGGCCTACCTGGTCCAGCAGGCAACCAGATGCCTATGAGAAGCCCACAAGCAGGGCAAGAGGGCAACAGTTGTCTCCTGCTGTTGTTTCCCACTAACTGGTGTTCTTCCTCAGAGGTTCTATATCCCCACAACCATAGCCTAGCTGTGATATCAAGTGGCTGCAGTGTGGCATCCAGCCTCAGAGAGCTACAATTCCTAGATGGCTTAACAATCCATCCTTCTTCCCTGGGAGCTCTGGGAATTGTAGCTCTGAGAGGAGAACAGAGGGTCTCCTATCAACTCTCAGCACCCTTAGCAAACTATCATTCCCAGGATTCTTGGCGGGGGGGGGGCCATGACTCTTAAAGGTGGCATGATACAGCTTTAAATGAATTGTGTAGATGTGGCCATAGTGTTGTGTTCTATAAGGCAGCTGTCTGTCATGACCCACTATGGGCATTTTTATCTACAGGTATTTGGAAGAAGGATCCTGTACTCACTTGCAGATGATGTCCAGCTCCTGCTGCTCCTGGATGCTATCATCATCCGGCTGCTGCTCCTGCTGTGCACTTTGAGCCATGCTGTCCCCAAGGCTGATGAGGCACTCAGCAAAACCTTTGTAGATGGTGTTGCACTTACTGCCGGCCACACTCACCGGCTCCTCGGACAGAACTGCAGAGGGAAACAAGCAACACTCAGCTTGTATCATCTCTAACACAGATGGGCAACCTGTGTCCCCAAGGGTCACATACGGCTCGTACTTTGGTTCATGTGGTCTTCAGCATAGCCTGAAGCCACCTTGTTCCATCTCACCAGGCTTCCTCCCTTCCTTGCTATGCATTTCTTCCTTATTTTTTCTGGCTTTTAAAAACATTTCCCGATATTTCTATGTACTTTTGGAACAAGTGGAAAGGGTGCCATGTTCCTTAGTGCAAAATAATTAGACATTTTGTTTTGGATTCTGCCCCTCAGTTTCATTGTTTTCCCCCCAAACTGTGAGAAAACAAATTTGCAGACTTTAGTCATGTTAAGTGTGCATTTCTGTGCATTTTACATATAACACTAAAGTCAGAGAGGAGTTCTTGTAACAAGAATAAGAAAATGCTGAAGACTACATATTATAACAAGGATTGGTTAACTTTACAAATTAGTCAGCAAATGCTCATCTTAGAAAACCTCCTAAATATGGAAAGTCTGAAAAACAGGTAAATCTAATTAAATTGGTCTGGTCAAATTGATTCAAAGCCAGATGACAAATCAGCTTTAAAAACCTTCTTTAAATCACTAGACAGACCTCATAGTGCACCCATACTGGTTTAAAATATATATAGGTGCCAGTACCAGCAGTCACAGTAATTCTGATATTGCTGCCATCAGGACCTCTTGTTAAGATGCTAGTCTGACTGCACCCACACAGACACCCTCCATTAAAGCTGACTTGGACCAGTCTTAGTTGGGAGACACTTACCTGCCCAAGGCTGACAGAGAAAACACAGTAAGATGTCCGCAAAGTAGAAAAATGATTAATATTTTACGTGAGCTGGCCTACTTCAGTCTGATCAAAACACATCCGTAGGCTGCCTCACTTCTCTGAACACACCAGCAGGAAAAGGAACAGCCAGAAGATTTGAACAGCAAAGCTGACGAAGATGGGATTCCCTTCGGAACCGGCAGGGGAGCCCCCAAGAAGCTGATTAGCAAACTCTGAAACTGCTCTCCTCTCTGATGACCTCTGGCCTAGGCAGACGTAATGGGAACAGGCTGAATCAGGTCCAGAATGACAAAGGCCTCCAGTCCCCATCTGCACTATGCATTTTTAAGCAGTATCATACCACTTTGAACAGTTGTGGCTTCCCCAAAGGAATCCTGGGAACTGTAGTTTGTTAAGGGTGCTGAGAGTGATTAGGAGACATATATTCCCCTCACAGAGCAATAATTCCCAGAGTTCCTTGGGAAAAGGGACCGATTGTTAAACCACCCTGAGAATTATTCAGAACTTTGTTTGTGTGCAAGTACTAGGAGTGTGCTATCTGCCTATCGAAGGGCAGTAGGTTAAAGGACAGAGGGCAGTTGTTTGGGGCAAAGTGCAGAAAATCAATAGAAGGTTCAGCACCCCAAGGATCTCCACTTTCATTTTAACAGCCACAAAAGAAGTTTTTAGTCCTTAAGTTGTTGAGTTATGCCCAGGAAAATACCTGAAAAGCCAAAAAGTGAAGCAAGCCAACCTGTATTTGCAATAATAAAGAACTGGGATCTAGTGCCCTGCATACATTCTTGCCCTCCTGCCATGACCGCTATGTCACTAGTAGTGCAACAACTTCAGGCACATCTCAGCCAAACAGCAGCCAGGCATCTTCCCATGCTGCCCAAGGAGATGGGACCAAGCACAGGGATGTAGGTGAAGAGCATATTTCGGACAAAAAGCAATTCACATGCTACGTTATATCACTTGTACAGAGTGATAGAAACCTCAAGGGCTAGTAACCCATGTCATCGTTTTAAATGCAAGATGCTCATGTCATGATTCTTAAAAGATGCTGCTGTAAGAATCCAAACTTCCCCAGATTGCACATTAGAACATAAAAAGAGCCTGCTGGATCAGGACAACAGCTCATCTCCCAGTGGCCAACCAGATGCCTATGAAAAGCCCAAAAGCAGAACCTGAGTGCAATAGCACTCTCCCCACTAAGGGAAACATTGCCATCGTGGCTATCACTGCATGCAGATGATAGCGCATTTGCCACACACGTTTACTGTAGAGTAACCTTGCAAGAGGCTGTGCAACAACCTTTGCTGGTCACCCAGGGCAACCTGCCAATTCAGGATGGGAAGTCTGTCACACCCGCAGGTGGCAAGCCATATGTCAGCTTGAGCCCATAGTCCCACCATGAGATTAGCATTAATCAAATGAAAGTCACATTGCAACTCAAGGACTCTAATTATTTATTTAAAGATGTTTTAACCTCTACGTCCATGAGGTTGGCACAGAGTTACCAGTGTCACTCCAGATTTCTAGGGTCCCTTGGGCGAGATACTCTCTGTGAGCCCATCACTTTGCTGCTGTCAATTCTGTCATTTGCCTGCCCATACCCTTGTCCAGAAAGAGAGGGCAAAGCAAGGAGGAGGAGGAGAGAAGGTGGAACAGAACAGTCCAAACCCCAATGGTTGCAGAGGAAGTCACTGGTGGAGCGTGAAAGATGACGAATAGCAAACTTTTAAAGTTTCTGTTCCATGGTCTCACCCAGATTCGGAGGCGCTGATACATCTCCTTGCCAACTGTGCAAGGGACCAGGTACATGCGCACTGATATAGCTCCCTGACAAGGGCTCAAGGGAGCCTAGGTATACCTCTGCCCATCCCTACTCTAGGGATTAGTCAAATGTGGGATAAGCAGCCTCATATAACTAACATTTTTAAGTCTAATTAATGCATGAAAGGGTTAAGACCATAGAGTAAGCTGTCCTGCCAGGCTTAACTCATCTTGGGAGGGACTATCAAGACTTTGTTCCTCTTCAGTCTACTGGATGAACTCAGCATGTGCAGAGGCCAAGATGGTTGTTCCACATTAGCTGCATGGCTCTCACAAGCCATCTTGGGTTCCTATACCAATAATTTATGAACTTCTACCATCTTGGAACTAAACTAAGTCTTACTGCCTGTGCAACTTTTCTGATTGATGTATGGAAAAAGAACATGAACCTGACTTTTGAAGAGTCTGTAAGTAAACCAATTTTAAACTTACCAAATGTGTGGTCTTTTCCTATGCTGGGTGAAGAGGGAAATTCTGAAACTCTAACAACCTATACTTCCATACTTTACTTTGCTGCATATTTTGTGATTTTAAATCTCTGCTGGGGTTCTCTCATAAAAAAGTACTTGCCCCAAACTTGGATCTTGGCATCCAGGAATTCTTCTTTATACCACCCCTTGAGCCTTCATAATACGGCAGATGATGATTCTGATGATTATAAATAGTAACACCTAGTTTTAGCCTGTTTTGTGGCTGTGTTGATAGGAAGTGCAGAGATCTAAATTCTAATCCTGATTTCTCTCCCTCTCCACCCCCAACCTTTGCATGAAGCTTGTAACTTTAAAAAAAAGTGTGGGGGGGGAGGGAGTTCAAAGCATATACTGTGAATGCAGAAGGTCTCAAGTTCAATCTAAGCATCTTTAGTTCAAAGCCTTTCAGGTAGCAGAACGACCTTCTGCTAGTAAAGCATGTGGTTTGCCACTGAGTTATGACTCATTGGCTAGAAGGCACAGTGGCCTCACGGTAGAAGGCAGTGCCATAAGCTACTTTTACTGTTCTTCCCTGTGAAGAACTGAAAGCCTAAATATTCCAGTGCCCATAATATTCAAAGCAATAAAATAATTATTTGGAACCCACAGATGGGCAGTGCCCTGAAGCAAGTAGAGGCTGCTGCTTTAGGTGGCAGATTTTGGATGCCGCTTGGGGGGGGGGGAATCTGATTTGTGGCAGAGTCTGCTGTAACAGTCTCTCAATTGAGCCACATATAGACAAACAGGAGCTGAGTAAGGGCACAGTTGTGGATGAATGCACAGGTCCCATTTAAACCAATGATGGTTTTGCAGGGGAACATCTAGTAAGTAGGTTGTGGCCCATGTGAATTAAAGAAAGAGAGTGGGGCTTGTCATGGGATTATTCATGTTGGGTATCAAAATATCTGATGCTGGCTCTTTTGGGATCTCTTGTGAAACTCAAGTAACATGCCAACACTTATCTGTATCAAGTTGCTGCTGAAACTACGAGGACTGAGTTTTCTGCTTTCCAAGCAACGAAAAGGACGACTGACTTTGGGACTTAGGCTAAAATCCTACACCCACAGACTTGGGTATAAGCCCCATAGGATTAACTTTTGAGTATAGGCCTGCACTGTTATTTACTTAGCAATCCACTATCAATATCTCATGGAAATAAATGAAGCTAGGCTGTGTCCATTAGCTATAATTAACAGCCTATTGAAACCTATTTCTAGCACCAGGATTCTGTAATGGAAAATTTCAAGCAAAGTCTAGAATCAACCAAAAGTATGGTAAACAGGATAAAGCATAAAAATAAAAAGCGTTTAATTAAAGCAGTAATAGAAGTGATGTTTGGATTCTCGTCCGGAGCTTGATGTATGGGTACCCCCAACAAAATTGAAAAATTTGGCTGTATAATTTGGAATTAATGTGATTTGAAATAATTTGATATGATTGGCCTGTTAATAAAAATTATGTTTAAAAAAAAGCATAAAAATAAAAAGCAACAGAAGCATATTTAAACACATAACACAGATGGGCATAAATGCATAATGGATTTCCAGTTACAGAACTTGGATTCTGGTTGAAATTTAGTACAGGATTATTATGCTTGATCCTGCAAGCATCTGGGGGGTGGGGGGTGGGAAGGAAACTCATTTGACACAATTTAAACTTTTTTCACCAAATCTGGAAGCCAAATTTCAGTGACTGAAATTCAGTAATAAAACTAGCTAATTCATGCTTCTCACTCTAAATCAGGAAGAGGTTCAATATGAGAAATAATATGTTCTGTGCCATGTACTTTGATATTTTTGGTAGTTTTTTAGTTTTTTTCATTATTATTATTATTAATGAATTTTCTTTTGTAATTTTGGTTGTCTATATTTATATGTATTTGTTTAAAGCAAAATAAAAATATTAAAAAAAATTGTAAGGATCTAAACTTGGTGCTACAAGTATAGGTTGCAAATGTAAACACCCAGCTCCAACCCCTAGTTGGGGGGAGCGGGTTGGAGATTAAAGAAAATGAACTCCCTCCTAACCATTAGCATCCAAAGAAAAGTTTGCTGCAGGGCGGGAAATGCCATCCATAGAACATTTTGTGGGCATACAAATACACAACAGGAATTTAGAACTATTCCAAATCCAGCCAAATAAGGCACTTTACATGAAGGAATACGCCACGTTTCCATACCCAAATGTTCTGGTGCTTAATGGCTGAATTCTGCCATTTAACTTCCCAGAACATTGTGTTTTATCCAATAATTTCCCCAAATGTGTATTTCAATTAGGATGAGCGGCTGCAGCTTCCTGAAGCCACAAAAAATTCTACCCAACACTTTCTGAAGAAATCTTTTTTAAACAAATTGCATCTTTCATATGCTTCACATCAATGAGAACTTCTACTTCAGCAATCATTCATCCATAATAAATGCCCTGAATTCTTCTAGAGAGGACCTGGCTCTTCTCAACTGACACCAGGGATGGGAAATCCATGGCCTTCCAGAGATTATTGAGACTGCACCTCCTGCAAGACCCAGTGAGCTAACATGACCTCTGATCAGGGATGATGGTAGTGGTGCAATATATAGAGGGCCACAGGTTGCCCACCCCTGTCTCAGAATCACAGGGTCAGAAGGCCCCTACAGCCAACACTGCTGAATAAATATTCCATCTCTCTCTCTCTCTCTCTCTCACACACACACACACACACACACCACAAACAATGTCAGCTTGTAGAATGTGGAGTCTGTGGCCTTCCAGGTGCTGTTGGATTCCAATTCCCATTAACCCCAGTGGGTAATGGAATGGTAATGGGATGATGGGCGCTAGAGACCAACAACATCTGGAGAGCCACAGGCTCCCCATCCCCTGTTTCAAAACTTGTTGGTATAGTGCAGTGCATGAGCATCTTCTTCTATCTGGGCTTACCTTCTATGGACCATGCACTGACTTCTAGAGTGTCTGTCAAATCCCAAAGATGATGGTTCCTTAGCATTGTACCACGTTAATTGTATATGGAAAGGGAGAGTGAGCTTGAAGTGTGTGTTACCTTTGTGGTCTGAAGCGTACGGATAGCAGAGAAAGAGGTGGGACCCCTCTGTGGGCAACAGGAAAAAGAGAAAGCTGTACGAATTCTCCCCTTAAAATATAGGTCCCTTTCCAAGCAAGAGACAGGCATAGAAAGGGGGGCAGAAAAAACGTAAATAGCCAAAGGTGGAAGAAGACAATTGTTGCTGAGATTGCATTCATGTCTGCTTCTTTCTTTGTTGCCACCGATTTATTAAAACCAGTTCCTGAGCAACACTTGGAAGAAAAGTCCCTTATTAGATATCTCAGAGGCTGCTGACTCTATAAAGGGCTGAGAGAGCTCCTTCATGGCTTGTCCAGATCTTATTAGATGGAATAATGAAAGAAAAGACGACCCAGTGGCCCCATAATAGAATAGATAGTTACTTCATGCTCACGAGCGTAATATTAAAATGTCTTTTTTAAAAAGGGAGGATGGAACTCCGGAATACTCCTTCTCTAACACACACACACAATTATGGCATAGCTACAGCACAGACTTGACACTGATTTAATTGTCATTTCCTCTCCTGAGAGAACACTGAATTTTTAACTTCTGGGAGGAGAGAGGCTAGGTATCTCAACCTGGGAATTTTCTGTGCTCTCACCAAAACTACAGTTCCCAGGATTCTTCAGAGGGAACCATGACATTTAAAACTGGTGTACAACACACCAGTGTACACCACAGTGTACATTTAAATCTGGTGTACACACACACACTTACAGAGATATTTGAGGTGTAGATAGAGGTGGACAGATCTGTCTTTGTTTGTTTGTTTGTTTCTCTTAATTTCTCCTTTTTTCCTAATCTTAAATTCAACTCTCCGTACTTCGGCATCAGTTTGTGAATTTTGTTTAAGCCCTCATGAAAAGTCACCAGCATTTTAGTGCACATTATCCTGATTTGTGTATACAATTTTCCCTAGAAACACATTTTTGCAAGCAATTTTCCCATTTGTATTTGTTTTTCACTTGTTTATACATTTTATGCACATTTTACTCTAGAATATAGATTTCTGTGGACACTACTTGGCTGGAGGGCTGCGTCACAAAAATTGGAGAAGTGCAATTTTAGAAGGATGGTTATGTTGCAGTTTGCGTATTACAGTGGTACCTCGGGTTACATATGCTTCAGGTTACATAGGCTTCAGGTTACAGACTCTGCTAACCCAGAAATATTACCTCAGATTAAGAACTTTGCTTCAGGATGAGAACAGAAATTGTGCTCCGGCGGCGCGGCAGCAGCAGGAGGCTCCATTAGCTAAAGTGGTGCTTCAGGTTAAGAACAGTTTCAGGTTAAGAACGGACCTCTGGAACGAATTAAGTACTTAACCCGAGGTACCACTGTATTTCAAAAAGTGTGAATTAAATAGATTCACGTGAAAATGCTAAGCAAATTTCTCCCCCTTCCAATGTATACTACTACTGCTAATTTATTATTTGTACCCTGCCCATCTGACTGGGTTGCTCTAGCCACTCTGGGTGGCTTACACATAGTAAAACATTAAACCTTAAAAAGCTTCCCTATACAGGGCTGCCTTCAGATGTTTCCTAAATGTTATATAATTACTCATCTCCTTAACATCTGATGGGAGGGAATTCCACAGGGTGGGCGCCACTACCAATAAGGCCCTCTTCCTGGTTCCCTGTAACCTCACTTCTCACAGTGTGGAAACTGCCAGAAGGCCCTCGGTGCTGGATCTCAGCGTCCGGGCTGGATGATGGGGGTATGCTTCTTCAGGTATACTGGGCTGAGGCCATTTAGGGCTTTAAAGGTCAGCACCACCAACACTTTGAATTGTGCTCGGAAACATACTGGGAGCCAATGTAGGTCTTTCAAAACCTGTGTTATGTGTTATAAGCCCACATATTAACCAACTGGAACAAGGTGAGTCAACAAATCACAGATTTGTAAAGCTTCCTAATTACCTCACTACCTGTCGGTCACTGGGAACATTGCCCTGACATTGGAGAGGGGGCAGAACAAGAGTGTACTCAGTCTCAAATGTCAGCTGCACTGCAAATCCTCATTCATTCTTGTCCTTTCCAAACTGACACTGCCACACCCCAGGCTGGGGAAAAAACCAGAGAGTGCCACTATGGCAGGGCCAGAAGACAGATTGACAGCACAACCCTAGGCATATATACTCAGAAGTAAGTACTGTTGAACTCAGGTAAATGTCTACAGGATCACAGCCTAAGAGGATAACCAAAACAAGGTGTGAAATATTCCATGAATTGTTATGCCAGCTTTTGCCAACTATTTCTGATTATTACAAATAATCAACTACAACAGATGTTCTAGAGATGATCTTGCAATTTATGCTTGAATGTGAGGGATCACATCTCAGGGGCAGATCACATGCTTTGCATGCTGAAGGCCTGACATTCAATCCCTTAGCAGATCTCCAGGTAAAAGGGTCAGGTAGAACGACAACCAGCCTGGGATCCTGAAGATCAGCTACCAGACTACACAACAAAGCAGCTAGATTAACAGACTGGAAGCCAGGAGATCCGGGTTCAAACCCTTGCTCAGTCATGAAGTCTCCTGGGTGATGTTGAACTAGCCACACTCTCAGTTTAGCCCACCTCACAGGGTTGTTGTGATGATAAAATGGGAAGAAAGGATGGAACAAAAATAGCACATCATAATACGGCAGCTTCCTGTACAGTGGTACCTCGGGTGAAATACTTAATTCGTTCCGGAGGTCCATACTTAACCTGAAACTGTTCTTAACCTGAAGCACCACTTTAGCTAATGGGGCCTCCTGCTGCTGCCGCGCCGCCGGAGCACGATTTCTGTTCTCATCCTGAAGCAAAGTTCTTAACCTGAAGCACTATTTCTGGGTTAGCGGAGTCTGTAACCTGAAGCGTATGTAACCTGAAGCGTATGTAACCCGAGGTACCACTGTATTCCAAGTAAGTCCATCAGTCCATCTAACTCAGAATTTTGTGCACCAGGGATTCCCAGTCTCTTCCCCACATGGACCACCTGAAAACTGCTGAGGACCTTGGCAGACCACTTAAGGGTTTTCCTGACAATTGTAGCAACTATAATGTGCTGTGCTAGGTGCTGTGTGATCTTTTATTGTATTTTTATCGCTTCTTTCTTATATAGTATTTGATTGCATTACAATTTGCATTCCATGGAATTCAGATGGTAATACAATATAAGAAACAAAGAATCAATAAAACATGATTAAAGATGATGCTGCAGACGACCTGAATGAAGTCTGAATACAACTGGTAGTCCATGGACCAGCTTGGGAACCCCTGGACTACACTCAGGGTTTCATTCTGAGGTCTCTCTCAGCCCCACCTGGGGATGCCAAGGAGTTAGCCTGAGACCTTCTAGATGCAAAGCAGATGCTCTAACCACTGAGCTACAGCCTTTCCCCTAATGATAAATCATTCATGCTAGGCTAGAGGAACAAACAAAGGATTGTAATTAACTAACTTTTGCTCAGGGTAGATGCACTGAAACAAACAGTCCTACATCAGTAATGTTCATTAATTTTAACAGGTCTAGACGGGTGGAAGGCAACATACTTTGCAATACAATCAGAAGCAACAATTGCTGGAATTGTTGCCTCCCCCCCCCCCCCATCCACAGATACATCACCGCAACTGAGGGCACATTGGGGTCACTGACCGTCTTTTCAGCGTCAGGAAATAACTCTATGCCAGTTATGCCAAGCTCAACTGAAACGCCATGATTCAAGCCACAATGAAAACTCCATCCGTCTGAAAAGACGTTGCCAAGCTGAGCTAAAGACAGCTCCAACTCCACCGGCAAACCCCCAGGGGATCCATTCTGGGCAATTGCATGGCAATGTGGTGCCCTCTTGCTCCAGATTCCAGATTAACAAGGACACCCTGCTTCTCTCTCTCACACACACACACACTCGTTAAAAGTGCTGCCACAACAAACCTGTTAGTCTTTTAAGGGGCCATTAGACTTTCTGTTATGCGTGCTGTAGCAGACTGGCACAGCTACCACCCCCACCCCACCCCAGAACAAATTCAAAATAGCAGTCCACCCATAAATTCAACCCCTTTTTCTCCACCTTGATCATGCAAAAAAAAGGGGGGGAGAAGAGTGCTTTCAACATATGAAGCAATCTGTTAGAAATATTGGATTGTACCCAAGCAAGTTATACTCCTAGTAGACACATTGAGATTGATGGACCTAAGTCATGTCAGTTAATTCCAATAAGTCTACTCTGCGTAGGGGTAACACTGGATAGAACCCACAATGTAGGATTCCACATCCTTTGTTTGCCAGCGTGACAGAGGATGCAGCTGTGCCAAACTTCTCCAACCTGGTGCTCCCCCAGATGTTCATGGGACTGCAACTCCCACCTGCCCCTACATGCCGCATGGTCAGAGATGATGGGAGTTGTAGTCTAACAACATCTGAAAGGCACTAGGTTGGAGAAGGCTGAGCCATACCACCAGAAAACGGACCGGGCCGAGGTGGAACTGATCGTGGTGCTGAAGAAAAGGCACCCCGGGAGAGGGCTTCCTTCCATACGAGCGCGCAGGGTTGCTAAGGTGCAGGAGAACAAACTGGCGAGCCAGAGGTCTCCCCTGCTGGCCTGGCAACGCACCCGGGGTTTGAGGGGAGGATCGGAACGCTGGTCTCCGGTGTTCACACACTTAGGAGAAGGCGCGCACGGCGCCTCCATTCATAGCAGGCAGACCGCAGACAGGAAGCAGGGAGATCCTCCTGGCGCGGAGCCTGGGCGGGGGGGGGGGAGAGGCAGTCTAAAGCGCTCCGAGCTTTGCAGGGCAGGACTTGGAGGCCGATGTTCTGGGTCCTATTTAGCAGGATGAGCTAAGGGTCCCCCCCCCCAACGCAGCGGGGCTTACATCCTTAAGTAATGCACTTTTGCCATTAGACAGCAAAAATAGATGCACCGGCGCGAGGCTGCAGAACCAAGCAGCGGCATCTTCAGAACACTTGTCACAGAATTGTAGAGTTGGAAGGGACGCCAAGGGCCATCTAGTCCAACCCCCTGCAATGCAGGAATCTCAACAAAACCATACAAGACAGATGGCCATCCAATCTCTGCTTAGAAACCCCCGAGGAAGGAGAGTCTGCCGCCTCTCATGGGAGTCTGCTCCACTGTCAAACAGCTCATACTGTCAGGAAGTTCTTCCTGATGTTTAGTTGGAATTCCCTTTCTTGTAACTTGAATCCATTGGTTTGGGTCCTAGCCTCCGGAGCAGCAGAAAACAAGCTTGCTCCATCCTCCTTGTGGCAGCCCTTTAAGTATTTGAAAATGGCTATCTTATCTCCTTTCAATCTCCTCTTCTCCAGGCTAAACATACCCAACCCCCTCAACGTTCCTCATAAGGCTTGGTTTCCAGGCCCATTATCATCTTGGTCACCCTCCCTTGCACATGTTCCAGCTTGTCAATCTTCTTAAATTGTGGTGCCCAGAACTGAACACAGTATTCCAGGTGTGGACTGACCAAGGCAGAATAGAGCGGTCCTATGACTTCCCTTGTTCGGGACACTATACTTCTGTTGATACAGCCTAGAATAGCATTAGCCTTTTCTGCTGCTGCACCACACTGAGGACTCATGCTCAGCTTGTGGTCTACTAAGACCCCTAGTTCCTTTCCGCATGTCCTACTGCCAATCCAGGTGTCCGCTGCCTTATATCTGTGCAACTGGTTCTTCCTGCCTAAGTGTAGAACCTGACATTTGTCCCTATGGAAAATAATTTTGCTCGTTTTGGCCCCGTTCTTTCATCGCGAGCATCACACACACACGTGCAGCCCAAGCCGATCCGCGCCCACTGGGACACAAGCCCCGCTCCCGAGCTACCAAGCAGGCGCAGCGATGCTCACGGTCTTCCTTTGCTCGAAAGACTTTGCACGCCTCTCGTCTGTCCCCTTTGCACGGTCCTCCAAGCGCCGGGCTGCCCTCTCTCCCCACCCCTTACGCGGCTGGCAGCTTGCACACTCAACTCCCTCGCCTTGCCTCTTGCACTCCCGTTGCACACTCGCCGCCCTGCTTAGACCCGAGCACACATCTCTGATACTCACCCAGGTGCAGCGGGAGCAACAGCGCCAAGGACCCCAGCAGCGCCCCGCAGCCCATGGTGGTGCCGGCGCCCAGTTCCAGCGGCAGCAGCGGCTCAGTGCGGAGCCAGGTGGGAGAGCAAGAAGCCGAGCGGCGCCAAGCGCCTCCCCTCTCGGCCCCGCCCCCGCGCCCCGCCCCTCGGATCCGGCCCGCGGAGCTTCGCCTCGCGGCCTCTAGGAGCGGGCCGAGGTGGAACTGATCTGCGCACCTGCCTTTTGCCGAGCGCCCACTCCGAGCGCGCGCGCGGAGACCTGGAGCAAACTATTCTCAAAAGGCACAGGATCCGTGCAAGTTCCTGGCGTCGCCGTCCTGCACTGCAGCTCGTAAGGAACTGAAGTTTTCTCTCTCTCTTGTCTCACCTTAGCGTCTGTAGCCCCGCCGGATCCGCAGTGCGGTGGCTGCCCGGGCGGCAAGCTTGTAAAAAGTTGCTCTTCCCTCAACCCGCGAAGCGGCTGGCCGCAGATGGAGGAGAAGGCGGCGGCGGCAGCAACAACAACTAGGGCGCTGGCGTTGGATCAGGAAGCAGCAAATAGCCCGACGACCTAGCACCACCAAAATAACGGCCAAATCCAGCCAACTTATTTTAACACTTGGAGCAGAAAACCCTGCAAGCACCTCTCCCCTTCTTGGCCATAAAAACCGGTTTTAGGTTCTACTCTGAGTAGACCTGTTGAAATTAATCGGTCTGAATTAGTCGTGTCTATTAACTTCAATGTATTCCTCTGAGTGAGTAGAACGTAGTTGGTTACAACCATTAATAACAAATAAAATAGCTAACAATTAGTTGCCTAGGCAGCCACCCTACACAGTAGGATGATTTAGGTAGATTTAGGCAGGGGGACCGACAAGTGCAGAGGAAGGCAGGGAGACAATAGGTTGCCTTCAACGTAGCGCTAAGGCCATGGAGTTCCATCAACACAAGGATTTTCCTTGGAACCTCTTTCCCCACCACCACCCCCAGCGTGCCCCCCAAATCTATTTTTGGGTATCCTCCCAACCCTCCAGAGCAGGGTATAGTCAGGAGGGAACTTGGGGGAGGAGAGAGGGAAGTCCCATTGCTCTAGCAGGAATCACTGTGCTGGCTCCCACTAGTGCAATAAGTTACTTGAACTTGGCCTAAACAGTATGTGAAACCAGAGCCAATGACAACCAGAGCCACATGATCTGTGCAAAAGTGTGCCCACGTGCCCACTCCTAGTCCATAGACCACAAGTGAGACCTTGAGGTCATAGTAAATAGCTCGATGAAGATGTCGCCCCAGCTTGTGGCAGCCATGGAAAATGCAAATTCCATGCTAGGCATCCTTAGGAAAGGAACTGAAAATAAAACTGATGCCATTATACGAATCTATGGTGCAACAACATTTGGAATACAGTATACAGTGCTGGTCACCTCACCTCAAAAGAGTTGGAAAAGTTTCCAAACAGGGCAACCAAAATGATCAAGGGCTTGGAGTGACTCTCCTGTGAAGAAAGGTTGCCATGTTTAGTTTGGAGAAAAGGTGAGGAAGAGGTGACATGATAGAAATGGATAAAATGATGCCTGGCATGGAGAAAGTGGACAGAGAAAAGTTTTTCTCCCTCTCACAAAATTAGAACTTGTAGACATGCAGTGAAGCTGAATGTTGGAAGATGTTCTGGACAGAAAAAAGAAAGCACTCCCTCAGGCAGCACATATGGAACTGGTTTCCACAGGAGGCAGTGATGGCCGCCAACTGGAATGGAAATTAACAGAGGAGAGAGCTATCTGTGGCTACTAGCTGCAGCTGTAGCAATGCTTCTGAATACCAGTTGCTTGAAACCGCAGGAGGGGAGAGTGCTCTTGGGTTCAAATCCTGCTTGCTTGGTTCCCAGAGGCAACTATTCAACCACTGTGTGAACAGGATGCTGGACTAGATGGGCCATTGGCTTGATCCAGCAGACTCTTCCTTGTTCTTAGGCAGAGCCAACTCATCCTAGTTTTGTCTACACCTGTTTCCCTACAGTCCTATCCAATGGCAACACTGAGATTGAGGGAGAGGAAGCTAACAGTGTGTGCCACCCCATGGACCGGAGGATGCAAGTGAGCAGGCAGGCAGGCAGGCAGGTGTGGGCTGGAAGAGGGCAGCTTGCGGTCGATGGGGCTTGCCTCAATAAGGAAGATGGATGCGTGAGAGAATTGCCCTTCTTTGCTAGCCTGCACCCCACTTGCTCTCAGATCTGAGCAAGCCGGCCAGCCTCCGAGAGGCAGGCATCTCGGCCCTTCCCCACCCCCAGCCCTGGCACAGAAGCCAGCTGGGAAAGGGATATTTCCCTTCAGAATATACTTTAATCCCTAAAGCCCTCATTCCCAACTGCTATCTGGCTCCAGCCTCTTCACACACACAAACACGCACACACAGTTGTTTTTATTGTTAAATCACTTCAAGATGTTTTAGGAATGAGTCATAAATGTAATGGAAGTGGTATTGAAATGGGAGGTTAAATGGTATTTTACAATGAGGGATTTTTATATTTAAAAAAACCCTCAAGCCTGTTACTCAGAAACAACTCCTTGTGAAGACTGGAGACCTGGGCATGGGTGGGTTGCATTTACGTCAAGTATCTCATTTGTTGTCAGACCCTCAGATCCGTGCCCAGACTCCCTGGCTTCTTACACAAGTTCAGAAGGTATTATATTGAATAGGGTTTATTCTGGGAAAGGATTGGTTGCTGAACTTTATGCAGAAAATTTAATGTTATTTTGGGCCCAAGGACAGGATTGGAAACTATTTCAAAGACAAATTTGAAAGCTAGATTAGAGGGGGCGGAAATCAGGTTGGAGAAGCCAGTAGTATCTATATTGGCAAATATTAGGAAAACTTAAATATTTAACATAGATGATATAGGAAACCCCAGTTTAGATCTCAATAATGCGAAATCTTGCTCTAGACTGCTGACTGATTAGTTAAATGTTAAATTAGTTAAATAGCTGTTAAATGTATTCGTGGGAGGCGGTTATTGCTTTGTTGTTTCAGTTTTAACTATTTATTTGTGCTTTTATCTTGTGTGATCTATTAGATATAATATATAAATCTAATAAATTACACATATACACATACATGTAAATAACTTGTAAATTTTTACTAGTTGCTGTGCATTTATCTATTGTACAAAAATGGAAAATGTTACAGGAGTCAGATGTGATGCTCTGGTATAAAAAAAATGGAATAATCCTGTATATGAGATTACATACTATCTTAAGGCCTTACAAGGATTGGCTTAACCTTCAGGGTGTATAGTGGAATTTTATTGTGTATGTAAACATGCATCATCTACATCAACAGCTCCCAAGAGTTTGTTTTGAACTTTGGAATTACTGATTTATTGGGTTTATATGATGACTTGATAGGTTTTCCCAGGTTGCAGGAGAAACCATAAGAAACTCATAGCAAGTATTGCTTCAGAGTACACTGCATGTGCGCAGGTGGAAAAGCAGACTTGCAAAGTGGTCCCAAGCACATTTTAGACAGTGGTAGGAAGAACAAGAGAAAAAGCATGCTCCAGCATTCAAACAGCACCATGTGTTCTGGTGAAAGAAAAACCCTCTCCACAGCAGCTTTCTTGTTCTACTTGTGATTAAAAAAAATGTATCGCAGGGATGTTGGATGCTGCAACATCTGCCTTAGCCCACAAAAAGCTTGATGCCCTGGCAACAGGAATAATCTCATTGGTTTGTCACAGCTATAAAGCCTGTTAAATGGCTTTCTTGCTTCTTGGGTTGGGAGCAACTGGGGGCTCTAGAGAGTCACAAAAAAGGGGAGATGCATTGAACTAATGAAATACTGAGGAAGGAGCCAACAGCTGGTGACCTGCAGTTGTTTACTTTAATTTTGGGGGTGCGGCTGAATTAATTAAATTTCAGCCATTGACACTGAGCATCCCCTCTCAGTCTGGGCCATCTGTATCCTGCTTGATGTTCCAGTGTCAGCAAAAGTGTACGTTACATTCTAGCTGTGATTTTGTGCATCAGGTTTGTGTCCATGAAGAACAACACTGACAAGGATAGAGACGGATTTAAAAGGAGGGCTGGGGTAAGAAGACTGCTGAAGGTTTACTCCAGGAAAATGCATGTCAGATGTCACAGAGGCTCCCCACCATGGGACTGATAGCAATGTAATGAGGGATGCCATGAGGAAGAGGCAACAGGAATAGCTAAGGCTGTGACTAAATAAACATGGCATGATGAAGCTTCTCTTTGAATGACTTGTACATTCAACAGGGTTCATGGAGACGGGCCCTCTGGCTGTGATAACTGGGAGAGGGGGAGGAAATGCCCCTTCAACAAGCAGTCTTGCTAAAAAAAAAAAGCCTTTCCAATTTACCTGCTATCACTCTGGTTTGGCAGCTTCAGGCATAACAAGGGAGTCAGAATCCTTCCTGAGGATGGGTGATGGTGGGGATTAAATCTCTCAGCCAAAGGGTCACATTTCTTCATAGCTAACCTTCCAGGGGCTGCTTGCCAATAAGTACATTTGTTCATACATATCAATGCCCCACTAATTCTCTTTTACACATGCACACTCACACCCAGCAGCAACGATCAAACTTGGAGACTATCCCCTAAGGAGAGGCAATTAGGCTTCAAGTCCCCACCCTGGATTTGAGAACAGCCTCTCGGACAATGAAATTTATTTTCCAAGACTACTTGGGGAGGATTTTGGCAGAGGCACAGCACACAGAGAGGGTTAACCCTTACCTACCTACCTAAAGGCAACCCCGCAAGGTTCCTTTCCAAAGCAATTAGGCTTGAAAACAGCTTCCTATTGGCTCAAAGGCTGCTTTCAGGTCTACCGTATTTTTCGCTCGATAACACGCACCCAACCATAACACGCATGTTGTTTTTAGAGGAGGAAAACAAGAAAAAAAATATTCTAAATGAAACAGTGGATGTATGATTTTTGTGGTTCATGCTGTGGCCACAGACATGTGATCTGACGGTGAGTTTGGGGTAGCCCAATGCAAAAATCCTGAGGATCCATGTTTGTAACCACATTTTTGCACCACTGCAGCCCCAGGCAACAGTGGGTGCGTGATTTTTTTGGTGCAAACTGTAGCCATGGACATGCTATGTGATCTGATGGTGAATTTGGGGTGACCCAGTGCAAAAATCCTGAGGATCCATGTGGATCTGTGCTTTGTAACCATGTTTTAAGTGGGGAGGGAAGGAAAAGCACTCAAGGGACAAGAAGCACGCGTGGAGCAGGCTCTGCTTCTCTCCCTCCCCCCCCCCCCCTTAGCGAGCTGAAAACCTTTGCTGGAGGGTCAGAGAGCCTGCTTGCCTTAAAGGAGCCTACTGGACAGGAGCCGCTTACAGTCGTGTAAGTGGCTCCTGTCCGGTAGGCTCCTTTAAAGCAAGCAGGTTCTGCTTCTCTCCCTCCTTAGCGAGCTGAAAACCTTTGCTGGAGGGACAGAGAGCCTGCTTGCTTTAAAGGAGCCTAAAGCAAGCAGGTTCTGCTTCTCTCCATCCTCCTCCCCCCCCCCCCCCGCCCTTAGCGAGCTGAAAAGCAAAGCGGGAGGAGAGAGAGACAGAGAGCCTGATTGCTATTTGCTTTAAAGGAGCCAACCGGACAGGAGCCGCTTACACTCGTGTAAGCGGCTCCTCTCCCCTCCCGCTTTGCTCCTTTAAAGAAGCAGGCACTCTGTCCCTCTCTCCTCCCCATTCAGCGGCTCTTCTCCCGCTGGAAACCACGGAAGCATTCGCTCCGTAACACGCACAGACATTTCCCCTTACTTTCTAGGAGGAAAAAAAATGCGTGTTATGGAGCGAAAACTACGGTAATTGCAGCATGCAGGGGTGAGGGGGAGGAGGAGTGCTGTAGGCCATATCGGGTCAGTGGCCTCAAAGTTTCTTACCCATCAGTTGCACTGTGACCAGCGCTGACTAAGAGAGTGAGCTCCTCCACCAGGCCCAGAACGAAACAGAAGCAGTTTTTTTTCCTCCAAAAAAGTCATTTATTGAACTTGTTAAACATTATTCAAAAATGAAAGATTAAGAGTCTAGATAAAAAGGAAAAAAGTGGTGTAAAAGCAAAATAATAATAATGATGAAAGGAGTTGTCTAACTCATGAACATGCTCCACCACACAAAGAACCAACGCTGTTTCCCAGGACGGGTGGGCTTCATGAACTTTTCATCCCTCACCCACAAGCCGCGCAGGTGGAGGCAATACTTCACTATGGCTGCTGTGACTCACAACCCGCTGGCACCTTTGACCTCTGACTCCCTTGGCAGGGTACTCCTGAAACAAAAGGGCAAGGCTTGCCAAGCTCTGCCAAACCCCTCAAATTCTTGGGGAGGGGCTCCAAGCTAGAAAATAGGAGGAAGATGGGATTAGTGTCTGCGCATCTAACTTGTACAGTACAAAGAGAGGCAGGTGGTGGGTAGGGCCATGGTCTGCTCACACAGAAAAGAACTGGATTATACGGGGCTAACACAGCTGGGGCTCAGACCCTTCTATCCATCCCACACATTTGTAGCGTGGAAGTATTTTCCCAGCAAGAGCATTAGAAAAAGAAAAGAAAAAGCCACATTTGGTTAGCAATGATGGACGCCCTTGTGGAGAGGCTGCGCGAGCCTTGTTAGGACATGCTGGGTGTGACCAGGCCTTGAAGCATGATCATGAGTCGGCGGGCCGGCTTGCTCAGGCTGTTGTGAGGCTCTGCCTGCAGGAACTGGAAGAGCTTCTGCCGCACTTGGTTCATCACAGAGCCCATGTGGTCGCGGGTGATGGGGTCGCTGTGGTCTAGATGCATCACTGCCTCCTCCAGGTAACTGCAAAGGCGAGAGAGAGCACAGCACGGTTGTGATCATGGCTGCAAAACTGCAGGCATGTGTGTACAATGACATTCCACGAATGGGTAGGGAATGGGCAGAATTGAGCTCCCCAAGTTTCTCAGTTTTATGTGTGAAGAAAGCAAGTTTCCAGACCTTATGGATGCAAAGATGCACTTGAAGGTATGTGTACAACGTCTGTTAAACTCAGAAATAAGAGATAGCTGAATAAGATGTCTAGCAGGTGCAGCTGGGCCTTTAGCGTCCTGCACGGCATCCTTCCATGGCCAGCAAAAACAGACTTATACAAAGTAAGATAAATAACGCAAGTTTTTCCCAGATGCAGGAATTTTGTCTGCATTTTAAAGGGCGGAACATACAGGGTCCTGGTGTAGGAAGCACTTGCCACTTCCCTGTGGAAGGAAAGTCTGCATCTACCATTAGGCACCACTGGGCGATACTCACTTCAGTTTCAGTTCTGTCCGAGCTCCCAAATCTGAGGAGAGCTGCTGAATGAGAGACAAGAGGACAGGCTGGGACAGTGGGCAAGGATGCTGCCCAAACACTTGCTGAGGGTCAACTGTCTCACAGACGTAGAGGACTAGGTTCAAATCTGCTGCAGTGAGAGCCTGTAGAGAGAAGAGAGTGCCCTGGTTAGAAATCTACATTTCTAGAGAAGCTCAATATGGCTGAATATGGCTTTGAGCACAATAACGCAGTACTCTTGGCCGTTTTGTTCATACAATGCTGAAAGCCGCTTTGGATACCATCTTGTGGAAAAGCAGGACACAAACAAATGAGTGACTGATGTTAAATAGCCTGCTATTGCTGTTGGCACACATACCACCATCCAACTGTGTGCATGTATATATAGCGGCCAATTTAGGATTACACTTTGTGCAACTGATGAAGTGGAGTCTGGTCCACTAAAACATATGGCGTCATAAATGTGTTAGGTCTCTAAAAAGGTGCCACAAGCCTCTGCTGTATTTGTTGCAATGGATTAACACAGCAATCCCTCTGAATACTGCCAGTCAGTTTCACTGGGAGATCCCAAGTTCTACTACAATAAGAGAAGAATAAAAAATATCTCTATCCACTTTCTCCACACCAGACCCTATCTTATAAACCTCACAGACTTAAAAACACTGATGGAAAACAACCCTTTCCTCAAACTTGAGTGGAAGTATGAAAGACACAGCAACTTTTAATCCATACTAAACTGCCTTGAACAGACAACATATAGATTGGTTATATATGCACCAGCAGGGCTACGTAGTCATGCTTAAATGATACACTTTGAACTATAAGACAGCTGCTCTGGGCGCCCCCTGCTGGTTCTAAGGCAGACCACCAGTTGCCCCTTTGTGACTCCCAGAACGATGCCTCCAAAAAGGATGGGGAACCTGTGATCCATCAGAAGCTGTTGGGACTACAACTCCCAGCATCCCAGCCCATTGACTATCTGGTCAGGGCTGATGGGAGTTGGAGTCCAGCAACACCTGGAGAGTCACGGGTTTCTTCTCTTTAAAAACCTCACGGTTCTCTCTCTAACTGAGCTTTGTGCCTGCTTCCTTGAGGATGTGGCCATCTGGGTCCTTCAGAGAGCAGTTGCGTGGCCAGTGTGTTGCCTCTATGGTTGGAGAGATGCGTACCTGCTGGAAGGCTTGATTCAGGTGCCCCTGCTGCAACAGCTGTAACACGTGAGCCTGCTGGGACTGGAAGTCAAGGTGAGTGGCAGGGATTGGAGTGCCTGCAGCAGAGCGCATGGCCTGCATGATGCTGGAGGTGACAGCAGCCTGCTGCTCCTTCATGGCCATGCTCACCTCCCCTTTGATCACCCGCTGGACTTGGGCCAGGATGGACTCCTGCATGCTGGAGAGAAGGGAAAAGGGAACTTGGAGGGGCTGTGTAGATCTGGGGGGCCGAGGGCGAGAGGACAGTAGTGGGAAGTCTGCAGGAGCAAGAGACTGGTTGTACATGATTCCAGATAACGTTCCCATTTCGTTCTCTGAACACTGTGCCCATTCCCAAGACAGAGCAGAGGAGACCCTGGACGTAGGGAAGCTTCCAATACTGATATTTCTCAGCTGGTATGAACAGAAAACTGCACTGCTTATGACCAGTGTGGCAGGGCAGGGGAATTTCAAAGGATGTGTGTGCCCTGTTTTCTCATCTTATACGTGAAGGATCAGATGAGTCAGTTTCATGCAGATCTCAGGACCCACTGCTATTAATCTGGCGCAAGACTCTCTGTTTTGCCCTTTTTTCTATGGGAGATGCCCCCATCTGCTCTGCCACTCACTTGCCCACGATGACATGAAGCTGATGCTGCACCTCGGAGTGCATGCTGGCCGTAATGGTGGCTGCCAGCTGATCAGTTGTGCTCTGGAAGTTGTTGACCAGCTGCCGGAGCTGGCTCACCACAGAGTCCCGGGCATCCTGCTCTCGCGCTTTCTTACTCTTCATGTGGGTCTCCAGCTGCTGAATATCTACAAGAGAAAATTCACAATTACTCAAAAGCCAGCTGGGTACCGTTGGAGTCCATTCCCACGGCCTCTGGCCTCTCTACCACATCAATCTCAAATCCAACTCCCCTTCATGTTCCTGAAGCCTTCATACTTTAAACTCTGCAGCAAGGCACAAAAAAACACACAGGAGTTTTGTCTAATGCAGGGATGGGCCTCACTTGTGGCCCTCTGGGTGTTGCTGGACTACGAACCCTATCATTATGTTTTTATATGTGCTGGAAGCTGAGTGGCTGAAAAAACCCAGCCAAATGGGTGGGATATAAATAATAAAATCATCATCATCATCCCTGGCCATTGGGCCATGCAGGCAGGAAATGATGGGAGTTATAATCCAATAACATCTGAAGGGATGCAGGTTCCCACCCCTGATCAAAGGCACCTTTTTTATTTCTGCTGAGGAACAGGGGTTTTCTGAAAGCACAATGTGAAAATGCTCGAGAGAGATTTGGGCCATTGCCTAAACTGCTGGTCTGGTACGCTCACATTGTGTTTCTCCAATGGCAACCACAAGACTCTTTACCAGGAGCATTGCCCTATTCTCAAAGGTTCTGGGCAGTAAGAAAGGAGAAAGCATCTCACTAACAATTCATTTGAGCCCCATTCAAGAACCTTAAAGATTTAACAAGTATTAGGTATCCTGAGCTACCAGCTGAACCCTGGCTCCTAAAAGCTGACCTGAAGAGGATGACCTTCTCAAGGGATGCTCAGGCATTTTTTTCAAATGGAGAGGGCACTAGTGTCTTGAAGCAACCACTGAGAATGCCTCCTGGTTCACCCTTTTTGTCATAAAAGGTACTGCTAAGAAGGCACTTGTAATTTAGGAGAACGAGAAGGGGTCTCGTGGAGCAAGCAGGCTCCAAAATATACTGCTGTTCAAGTCAAGGAAGTGCTTCATCAGTCAAAATCTGAACCATGAATTGTACCCTAAAATCAACAGAAAAATAGTCTGTAGGACTGGAGTGATGTGCCACTCCTGTGTTCTGCACCAGCTGCTTAGGCCTGAGCTTGGCAAAAGGTGTTGAAGCTTTATCACCTTAAGAGCAGTCCTGGCTAGCAGCCATCACTGGACCATAAGTCTACATAGCCCAGAATCCTGTTACCACACTACTTAGCTGCTTCTAGGAAGCCGACGTGCTGGAGAAAGAGGTATGAGTCTTTCTACATAGCCTTCTGGTAGCCTCCAAGCATGGGATGTTCCATTTAACCATAGTGGCTGGTAGCCTTAAGAAACACACCCCTCCAGATTCATGAAAGAGAAACCTATCAAGGCTATTGGATATGATGATGGCTTTTCAAAAGGGCATTCCTGCTTTCTGGAGGCTCTTCTTTGCCCCACAGTTCTGTAAACTAGTGTTTCCCACGGCTGACAGTATACAAAGCTGAAAAAGAGAGAAGCAGAGAGTGGGGCATACATTCTTGTGTGCCTTGTTTGAAGGTGTCATTGATCTGCTGGAACATTGATTGACAGCTCTTCTCAAAAGCAGGAAGCACCACACTCTGAAACGCCTCCCTGTATGCCGACTGCATGGGGCCCTGCAAGGCATCGGCAGCCGCCCGGGCAATGGCATCTGTAAGGTTCTGCAATCAAAACACAATCACAGCTCCGTTCACTGAGGTTTCTGGTCTAAAAAGGTGTCACAGCCATCAAAAATATGAGGCAGTGTCTGGCCTAGCACATCAACACCTTGAAAAGGCGCTAGGAGGCAGCAGTGTTGCAGCTGAATGGGCAGCCTGACCAGCGCTCGCTACCCAAGCACCACAAACCAGCTTCCCTCCCTGTCAAACTGGCACGGATCTGCTCCCAGCAGCCAACCCCACCCATTACCTTTGATTTCACCAGTTTGGTGACGTTCTCCTTCAGTGTTCCCTCAATGGCTGTAAGCTTGGTGGCAATGGTGTTATTCAGCTGCCCAGTGATGGGATCCAAAGTCTTGGAAACGCCTTGTTAGCAGAGAGACAGTAAAACAAAAGTCATGACCCCATTTTATCCCTCTTAAATAAATAAAGAAGTATATGAGGACCTTGGGAGAGGTCCATGCATGGACCATCCCTTGAAACAATGGCATCAATCCTTCCTGCTTTGTTAACTCTCCTGGGAGAAAGAAACTGGAACGGGTCGCTTATCTGCAGCAGAGAAAACTCTTGGGCTCTGCTCTCAGCAAATCCTGGGAACCCAGATCTTCACTGGGCTGGCTGAATTGCCTTTCCTGTTTTTCTCTTCAAAATCCAAACCCCATGCCAGAAAGCTTCCTGGGCACCACAGGATAACTGCTTACTGCCGCCTTTGTCAGCTTGGTGCCCTCTAGATGGACCAACACTCCCAGGCAGCACCGTTGGGAGTTGTAGTCTAAAGCATCGGGGGGGGGGCAGGATGGAGAAGGCTGCTCTACTTCCAAAGAAGCACCTCCTTTGTTGTTTTGCAAACTGATCGGAATCCAAGATGCGGGACTTACACGGGGGCACCGTCTTTTTCATCTCCTCGCGGATGGTCCTTTCCAGCCGGTTGCAGGCAGCCGTGGAGAGGGACTGGGAAAGCTGCTGGGACAGATGCTCCTGCAGTTGCCCACTGCGCTGCTGTCCCTCAGCTAAGGCCTGGTCCAGCCTCCGCTCTGAAACCACAAGAGTTAAGGAAAGCAAAGGGAGAGACCATGGCTCTGTGGTAGGGGACATGCATGGCAGACGAATGGTCTGTGCCACCAACAAAGGAAGATGCAGCAGATGCTGGGAGAGGCCTCGGCCCTCAACTCTGTGGACAGCCGCTGCTGAGTTAGATGATCAACAGCCTGACCTAGCATGGGGCAGCTTCCTCCCAAACCATGAGATGGGATCCTCATTCCTCATACCTTACAAGCACTGCTGCCACCAACACCAGCAAAAAATAAATGAAAAAAATGTTTTTATATACACCTATCTGCATATATTGCCTTTGGAGTACAAACCCTACTTCACAGGGTTTTTGCAAGGAAAAAAATAGAAGAGTGCTTGGAAGAAAAGCAGGATACAAATGTAAGAACATAAGAAGAGCTCTGCTGGATCAAGCCAAAAGCCCATCAAAGTCCAGCTTCCTGCTCTCACAGTGGCCAACCAGAAGCTTATAGCAAGCAGGACCTGAATGTTTTTCATTAAAAAACTTTTTATAATGAAGGTTAACAGTATATATTTAGTTTTATTTTCTACAAGTGGTATTTCACGCCTTTTCTTTCAGGACTGGAACTTAAGAGGCTCTTCTCATTGAAGGGGACCCAAGCACTAAGGCAGTTGTTTAGCCTTACCTACAAAGAGAGAGAAGACAGAAATAACCATTCCTGGATAACCTCCACCACAGAAGGAAGAGAGGAAACTATGGAATAAATTCTATAGACAAATATAACAAAGGTCTTAAAAGGTGTGCACGATCAACACATTATATTGCACTCATTGTTCCAATGCATTCTAAAATTAATCATGATTTAATATTAAGAATATCATCCACTTTCTTTGTTATGGTATGGGTTTTAGTTTGCTGGATATTTTCTCCTCTGTCACTCTTTTTATAGCAGGGGCAGGGAAGCCTTGTCAGCCCAAGGGCCACATTCCCTTGGCAGCCATCTCCTGGGAGCCAAATGTTGTTGGTGGGTGTGGCCAGAGAGAAAAAAGTGGGTGGAGCAATGGATACAACTCCTGCCTTTGGACAGCAGGCAACATTCCAGCCTTGAAAAAGTTAAGAGGTTTTACACACACACACACACACACACACACACACACCCCGCCCCCAATTTCTCTGCTGGTCACCCAGAGAAGCAGGAGGCTGGTGTCTTATTCCAGCTAAGCAAAAGCATTCAAAAGCATGGAGTAGGACTGATGAGAGGCGTGGCTTGGGAATGGGGTTCCCCACTCCGGGACAGAGTAATGGCTAAACTAGACACAATAACATTTAATGGACATTTCCCTTCATAAAGCAGTCAGCTATATTTAAACATGTGGTTTTAAAAAAGAATCAGGGATTCCAACAGAAACTGGCCACAGTCCTGATAAGCGCTCAGCTTTGAATGGGACAAGCCCATGACAGAGAAGGGCCCAGAAGGCACTTTTCTGGGAAGGATACGCTCCTGCTCTTGCTGGGAATCCACCACTCGCTCAATGTGGCCCATGAGGGAGCTCTGCACAGCATCCAGGTGGTCGGTGAGCCTCTGCATGAGTTCCATCTGGTTCTGTCTCAGTTCAACAATCTCCCTCTGCTGGGTCCTCAGAAGAGACAACAGCTCATCCTGGTACTCAGGAGCGACCTATTGGAAGAGGAGGCAGGGGAAATGTAAACACTCCAAGCACTCTCAGTGGATCCTCTCTGTGTTACATGGGAGGCAGCAACATAAAGAGTTCAACCCAATGATAGGGAGCCACTTCAGAGAAGGCCAACAAAGCAAATTTAGCAAATCTCAAGGTGCAGAAAGTCCCAGGCTCAGATGAGTATCTTCGTGGAGGAATATGGTAACATAATCCTTCATTTGTGGATTCCCAAAAGGAATTTAGACAATGGATGAGGACAATCTATAACAGCTGTAATTGACTTGGTGTACCCCAAAACATCTGGATGGCACTAGGTTGGCGATGGGTGAACTATATATAAAAAAGCAGTGGCCAGAGTTTTAGCAAAAGGCGTCAGACGAGAACATAATAATGTTAAAAAGGGGCATAAGACATGGGGGTGTCCATTTACACACTTCTCCACCTTTTAAAAATTGAGTCTTTGAACCCTAAATCTGTACAGTTCCATAGGAGGAAGAGATGCAGGGCATTCCCCATGGCAGGAATGTGGAACTGGTACACCTTGTCCTGATTTCATGTGGGGAGCATGGAGAGAGAGAGAGAGAGAGAGAAAGAGAGCTGAAATGAACAGAGCTATAGAAGGAAGGGAAGCTCAGTGCAAGAAGTGAGTTGGAATCTCTGGCAAAAGTGACTTTTCCCTCTCCCTGCAGCCTGCTAGACTAGGAGGAAGAGGGCTGAGGAAGGAGAGAGAGAAGAGTCCCATTTTTGATCCCTGACACAAGAAAAAGTTCCCCACCCCACCTTTTGGGAAGGAAGAACTGAAAGCTTTGCTGTATATGGAATTTCTAAAAGAAAAATACTCACCTGCTGATCAAAGGCTCTTGGGGACTGTTGCACATCCCTGGAAATGAAGGGAAGATGTTAATGCAACAACTGCGTGAATTGCACATCACAAGCACTGCATGCATAACCAGGGGGATTATACCAGAAATGTGGCCTGCTACAAATGTTCTGACTGCTTCAAAAAAAATAAAGTGTGTCTTTTCTGACTGGAAATGGCTCTGCTACAGGATGGTTACCTCTACACCCACCCACCCACCAACCAACTGAAAAGTACAGAGAACTGAATGAAGACTTATGAATAAATTTTCTACCCTTCTGCTCATCTCTTCCTCCCTAATGACCAAGAGGAGGAACAAACGCAGGATTCATTTCTAATTTCGCCAATTCCGGGCTCGTTGAGACGAGCAAAACAGGGATCATGGTTTAAAATTAATTCCAATCAACTTCAAAACAAGTCGCCTTCAAGCCATTCGTGGGTTATGAAGCTGGCTTGTTTTGCAAACTAGGTTTTATTTTAAATCCTGATTCCTGGTTTGTATGTAATGACAAGCCACGAATCAGGGAAGAAGCACAGAATCCTGATTTATTCCTCCTCCTGGCTGAGGAGAAGAGGGGAAAGCTAGAGCCTATGGCTTCACAGGTTCACAGAGGCTTGGTCACTTAATACAAGCCCTACCACCGTTTCCAGCCTTATAAGGAGGCTCCACTTTGCCACCATTCCCAACCTTCCAAGCAGCATATGCTCACCCATCATCTTTCTTCCCCTTCCTCTTTAGCTTTGGGGATGCTCGAGGCGACACTTTGGCTTTCCAGTCCTTCACAGGCAGCCGCTGTGCAGCTGCTTTGGCACTAAACCCACCAGACGTAGAAGCCAAGCTTGCAACTTCATCATCATGGTCACTGCAGAGGGAAGCCAGTCCTGATGAGTACTTGCCCCAACACAGCAGTCTTAAGGCAGACCCTGTGGTCAGCAACAGAAAAGGGGCAGAAGCCACCTAAGGGGAACTGGGGTAATGTGCCAATTGACGCTGCCACATTCTTCTACAAGAAAGCCGCCTCTAGTTTCAAAATTTAACAAAGATAGCTCCGCTCTTATCTAAGGGACCCAGCTTTGTACCATCATGATTAGCCAGCCTGTGGCACTAGTGTCACAGGCAGAAGGAGCCTGAGGTATTGCACGTGTCAGTAGGGCATATGCTACATCCAAATTCCAGTTATAAGCAGCCAGTTGTTGCATGCAGAAGGTTAGAGGGCAGCATGTGTCCTCAGTGAGCAAAAACGAGGTGAAAATTCAACTGATTCACTGTGCCCAGAAACGTCCGCTGAGCCCATCAGAAAACTGCAAAGGGGAAAGAGAGGGGGATTGGCACCTGCCAATACCTTTGTTCAGCGCTGGCATCCTGGCTGTCATGCTGCAGGAGGTGGTAGCTGTGCCTGTGGTAGGAGCTCTTGTGTTTTTCTTCCACTTCATTCCTGGGGCTAAGGGCAGGGGAGACCAGGGAAAAGGAGGAAACACTTCCATCACACTGAATTTATTTTGCCTCATTTTATTTATCTAACTTTCTTATGTGCCCCTTTATGTTACACAGACTTCAAAGCGAGCTTCCATAGAAATATACAGCTATAGTAAGAAAGGGTGTATAAGTACTCAGAGGAGACCCACTGAAATTCACGGGCCTATGTTAGTTATGTCCATCTACTCTGAGCAGATCTAACATTGGCTAGAACTCAAAACAAACAAAGTATCATACCATTCAAAGTATACAAAATAATTCTTAGCAGTTTTCATGCCACTCAACAATGGAACAAGAAAGAGGTCTGAATTGGAGAAAACAGTCAGCGCCAAAGGCTTTTATAAGCAAATGGGTCTGGCAAAACCCATTAACGTGGTGGCAATCCATGCTTATGAGTGGAGGAAGTTCCATAACTGGGGTGCCACCACAGATAAGGCCCTCTTCCAGGCCCCTGCATAATGAGCAGCACTCACAGGTAGGACCACTAGTAGCACCCCTACTGCTGGCTTCAGGGCACAAGACAGTTGGTATGGTGGGGTACTCTGGCAAGTACTGAAGTCTCAGATCTCATCCATGCAAAGGATGGGAGCTGAGCACTCAGGTACAAAGTAAGTGCTGAAGTTTTCATTTCTGTGCTAAACACCCAGAGCAAGTATGATTTTCTTTCAGACTGGCTTGTGGGCTCAAACCAAACATAGCCATTAAAAGAAAGGGCCAAACAGTAGAGCTGGGTTTAGGCAGCAATTGAGTCAATGGATACCTATTATCTCTTATTTTACTTATAGCCTCCAAGGCAAGGCACATCACTCTCCTCCTCCTCCATTTTAGCCCTATAACAACCTTCTGAATTAGGTTAAGCAAAGAGATAACAAGGCCACCCAATGAGCCTCGTGGCCGAGAAGGGATTTGAACCTGGGTCTCTACAACCTTAGCTTGACAATCTAATAAATACTATGCAACACTAGACATGGCTGCAATAGGTGGAGGGGAAGTGGCAGAGCACAGGCTTTGCATGCAGAAATCCCCAGGTTCAATTCCTGGCATCATGTGACAGGGCTGGCATAGGCCTCTCTATCCCTGACATTCCAGGAGAGCCACTCTCACCACTGCCTACTCAATGGGCCAGATGGACAAATAAGCTGACCTAGGATAAGGCAGCTGCTGATCTTCCAGTGTAGAAAGGAGATGGGAGTTCAAGACAACATGTGATGGCCCATATAAGGGAACTTGTGACCCTGGACATCATCTTGCTGGACTACAACTCCCAACATCCAAAGCCATTGGCTGTGCTGGCTGTGACTCCAAAAACATCTGGAGGGCCAAGACTGGTGCTTCCCCAAAAGAAAGGAAGGAGAAAGCAGGTACCTGTCCGCCATGCTGTTCCTGGTCTCCCTGGTGATGTCAGGGGCAGCTGGCCACGGCTGGCTCACGCCAGCGTCAGAAGCCACGTTTTCCTGAGGTAAGGCTGCCTCCAGCAGCGAAGGCGCAGTCAGCATGTCCACTTCATTGGGGGCCATGTCCAAGGAGTGATGGCTGTGCTCCGAGCTGTGACGATTCCGCGGGGAGAGCAAGTGCAAGGCTGATGCTGCGGAAGCCATACTGTCCGCGTGATGGTTGGAATCCAGGATCTCTGTGGGGAGCCCAGGGGGGCCGCCTCCAAAGCTGCGCTGCAGGGTCTCAGAGGCAATCTCTGGGATGTCCTGAGACATGGCGGTAGAGGCAGAGGAAATGACGTCTGGGGAGCGCTCACGAGTAGGCGAAGACTGGGGCACCACCAGAGGCTCCACTTCCTGCCGCTCTAGCGCAAGAGGGGCGTTCCCTGGGGAAACCTTGACCAGAGAAGGAAAAAAGTTAACCTTTCCCTTCCATTCTCTACACTACCTAGAGAGTTTACTTAGATGCCCAATTGTCTTGACAACCTTCCTTCCTAATCCCACTTTTTCTTCCTTATATTTTAAGTATATATAGGCTGCTTTTTGGAAGATGCCCCCAAAGCAGTGTACAATTAACACAGCAAATCGAAAACATGATGATGATTTGTACATAGTGAGGAAACAGATTAAAAGTTTTGCAATATTTACTGATCATTTTATTACTCTGTTTTTAGTAGGCCTTTCCCTTAGAGATCTTAGGGCAGCATATATGATTACCCCAGTTTTATCCTCACAACATGAGATAACCCACAATTCTATGATTCTAGGTGGCACAGGAAACTCAGGGCTGAAAAGAGGTCATGGGGAATACCTGTATACCTTTAACACACAGCTTGATACAACTATATGTCTTGGGACAACTTACATAAGCAAATATATTTTTCTACATGCAATGACCACGTTGGGGCACCCCCTCTTCCTATTTATGGTGAAGAACACATGCGTTGAACTCAGCATGGCAGAAATCAGACAGTATACCCGAGACCAGTGCACTCTAGTGCAGGGGTGGGGAACCTTTGGGCCTCCAGATGTTGGCTGGACTCCAACTCCCATCAGCCCTAGCCAGCATGGCCAATGGTTAAGGTTGATGGGAGTTGTAGTCAGTAACATCTAGGGAGGGGGACTGGTTCCCCACCCCCTGTGCTCCAGTGGCTTTGGGCCCCCATACCACATGCACACGGTGTAGACAATGACACAGTCAGGGAGAAAGGTAAATCTTTGCATGCTCATGGAGAATCCACCTTACCGGGATGGGGGCCTTTGGGGTCAGTTTGTCAGGAAGGCCAGGGAGGAGGACTGAATGACTTCGAGGGCTTGTCTGCAGACTTCCACTGCTGCCGCTTAGGGTAAGGCTGCTATCCAGCTGCATCTTTGGGCTCAGAGACACTTCTTCAGCTGGCCTGCAGGGCAAAAGGCAAATTGCCCATAGAGGTTACAAAAGAGAGTGGTCTTGCAAACCCCAATTAAAAATCAGCCCAGGGAAAAGGGTTCGAGAAGGGTTCTGACCACAGCATGCTTAAGGAACTGTGCCATTGACTTTACTGTCCTATGGGACTGTCACCCAAGCAACACTCTCATAAAGAAGACTTCCTTGGGGGACACTGTATGGGAGAAGCTGAAACAATGAATGCTAAAAAGCTAGAAGGGGACCTACAAGAGCTGGTCATCCGTTCCTTCAAGTAATTCAGAGCTGTGGTGAGAAGCTAGCGGGAGAGCAGTGACTGAAGTGAAGCCTAATGGCCCCTTGTGATTCTTCCCTGGTAAACAATGCTGAACTGGCCTCTGTGCTCTTCTATATCCTACAGCTATATTCCAAGGAACAGGGGTTCCTCCCCTGTCCTGCAGGTCTAGGATCCTCCACTATCTGCCTACAAGGTCACTTCATTACCAGCTTCTGCTATTTATTCCAATTATATGAAGCAAAACCATCAAATCTCAGGAAATGTTCTGGGGAATTGAGCTGAAGAACAAAGGGGATGCCTTTCCTTGGGAATAGGGATAGTGCACTTGACAGCTGCAACTCTGAAGATGACAGAAGCTCCGCCTTTAAAAAAGCTCCCTGAGATATCCGTGTGAGCCATTTCATTTTCATGCCTGATTCTGAAGGGAGTCTCCTAGCCCCTGAAAGTACTCAGTGGGTAGCACTGGGAAGGAGTCCTTGCCTAGGGCTTACCTGGGAATAGAGGGGTCACTGACGGAAGAAGTGCTCATGGTTGTGACAGCTGTGAGGGAACTAATGCTGCTTCCAGGTGACACTGTGACCTGGCACAGAAAATTCAGTGGTGTTAGAAAACTTAACTGAATACATACACAGTATTGCCTGCTAGTAAACACTCCTCTTGTACTACATAAGATATATATATATGGAGTAAATTAACTCTGCACCACCTGAAAACTATTTTGCCATTATAAGAAGCACCATACTCTCCTTACTTCTGCTTACAATTCTGACTTTTTTAAAGCTTGTTTTTAACTTTGACTTTTACTGACATTTTTAATGTATATTTTATATTCTTTGTAAACAGCTCAGAGGTTTTACTTACAATTAAGTGGCATACAAAGTGGTATACAAATTGGGTCAAATAGTTAGTTCCAATTAATACTTAGAACAGATTTGAGTAACTGCTGGCTTAAAAATATATACAAGGAACAGTGGAAATTGCTTCTCTGTTCTTTATTGTCCTGAGCACCATCTAATCCAGATTTCCCCAACATGGTGCTCTCTTGATATTTTGGAAGACAACTCTCATCAGCCCCGGCCAGTAGAGTCTAGAAGTCCCATCATTCCAAGCAACATCTGGAGGGCCACAGGTTCTCCACTCGTGCTATAAGCAATCCCAAGTCTTTTACGTTATAATGTCCAAATTGAAGGCAGCAAAGGAATTTGCTCCCATCTGAAACACACTCTAAGGAGGTTACCTGCTGCAGAGATGTACTGGGAGTCATGAATGCATCTGGAGTCATGAGCTTGGGTTTTGTGTCATTGGAAGGGGAGAGGAAATCCACGGGAACAGATAGCTCTGAAATGCGGCGCAAGTCAGGCTGTGAGCCATGCACGGATCCCTTCTCTGATCCAAGCCCTTCTGCGCCCAGGTCAGCAAGGTGATCTGGGAATGCTTCAAAACACACCAGACAGTTTAAAAGCAACTTGTACAGAGAAAACAGACATTTAAAACCACACAGGCTCCTTCCACCAGCCACTCAGTTAAATTAATATTAACACACACAGGTTAGGGAGGGGTGGGGGTACAGATTGCAAGACAAACCAAAGTCCCTGGGTATTCCCAGAGACTCAGCAGCAAAAGTCAGGGCCAGGCAAGATTTTGTCCAGAGGCAGAGAAACCTAGGCTATACAAAGGTGCCTTATACCAGATCAGACTCTTTGTTCATATAGCCCAGAATGGTCTACTCTGGCTGGCAGCAACTGGAAATGCCAGGGACTAAACGTAGATATAAATAAATGTAATAAACAAGCCAATACATCTTCTGATGTACTCTACCACTGAATTAAGGTCCCTTTCCTGAAATGAAGTACCACAATTGACAAAAGGATTGCCCACAGTCCAAAAATAACCCAGCAACTACAACAGACTCGGGATCCAGAATTCTCGAGCACTAGCAAGAATTTCCATTGTCAGCTCTGAGAGATAGCAAACATTCAAATTAGGGTACCTTGATACCAGATGGGATAGTCAAGTTAACAAGGAAACACAAATATTTTTTAGAGGACTCACCAAAATCTTCATGGGAGCCATGGGGAGGAATTGGAGCAGCTGTGTCTGGACTATGAAGAGGCTGGAATCTGATCTGCACATCCTGAAGGGCCCTGCAACATCCAGATAGATGGTTTTGGTTTACAAACTCGGCCTCAATAGGCAAACAGCATGCTAAACAAGCAACACTGCTTTGTGCAAAAGAAGACCAGTAGCAGACAGAGATTCCATTAAAACAGTGTACTCCGCTGTCACTTCTCATTTGCATCTGACACTTGTAGCTTGTTTGCTAAAGCTTCATGCACAGGTGCAATTGGGTCCCCACTGCTCCCCTGCACACACATGCCTTGTGGTCCTGCAATCCACAACATCCCCTATTAAAGAGATGTTCATAATCCCAACAACAAAATGTTTGCATTATCTGCACCTAATATTTGCATTGCATTCCAAGTGCAGAATGAGGGTTTATTTGGTACATAACTGGAATTATTTTGGTGAGAACCACTTTCATTATGATGTAACCCTTTGGTCACAAAGCCTAGGACTGCTGTTTTGGGAGTGGCAAGCAAAAGTTATCTCTGTTTGGAGGAAAAGCATGAAAGGTCACTCCAGGGCAGCTAAGAGGCAGTTAGTTACCTATGGTACCATCCCGTCTTGTGGACTGGCAAAAACTGAGCCTGTATTAAGTCAGTAAAGTCTTGTGACAAAATTAAAAGGCAGGCCTGGAGAACAGCTGTTCTACATAATACTCACTTGGTGTGGACACAAAAGAGTTTGATAAGCACCCCCGCTGCTGATTCTATCGCTCCAGTACCTTGTGTACCTTCTAGGAAGAAGAAAAAAATGGATGGAATTTTATTTTTCTTTATAACAAAATAGATATACTGCTTGGTTGTAATAAAACTTCTAAGTGGTTTACAAGAAATATTAAAATAATCAGTACAAACAGAAACATTTTAAAATATTTTTTAAAAATCATGTTTCCTTCCTGTTTAGCAGGTAAAACCTCCTTGCTCACCTTCTGAGTAAAGTAGGATAAGGCTGCTCACATTGTAAGAAAATGCTCAGGGACAAAAGTACAAGCCTTACCTGCTCTCAGGCAGAAGAAGCCAAGGGGGTATGTACCATTCTAACACTCAACACTTGAGAAGAAAGACTATGACAGAATTCCAGTATCCCACAAAACCATGGTTTGTGCTAACAGCAGTTTAAAAACAAACCATGGTGTGCTCCAAAGATATAATGAAACCATCATTTATACTGTGTGTTTTCTTGCCTACTTCCCGTGGAATCCCTGGGATGCTGTCCCTTAAATGCTCTGCTTTGGCCTATTGCAAAAAACTGACAGTCATTAACAGTCATCAACAGGTTTACCATACCCACTGAGTCAATCACCCAACTCCTACTACCCTCCTGAGAAAAACCCCACCCCACCCTCCCACTGTATATAAAGGTCTGGCGACTTCTGTTTCAGTGTATCTGAAGAAGTGTGCATGCACACAAAAGCTTATACCAAGAACAAACTTAGCTGGTCTCCAAGGTGCTACTGGACAATTTTTTAAATATATTTCGACTGCACCAGACCAACATGGCTACCTACCTGAATCTAGCATCATCTGTTGTTTGCTTCTGTTTTGGCATCTTTGTCTTACACTGTTGATATATTGGCAATCACATTAACAGCCGAGACCAAAGCAGTGGACAAACTGTTAGCTGGGTGACCACCGGGAACCCAAACTGAGAGCCACTCAAGTACTTCTGTTTCCATCCAATCAGGCATGGCAGACTCCCAAACCAACAATTCAGACTTCAGTGCAAATGGCAGGTTTCAAGTCAGCTTCAAACTATGGGTTTCACATTATAGTTTGTGGGCCAATGACCAATCATGATTTACAGGTTTGGACACCATGACAAACCAATTAAACTTTGTAAACCATGGTTTTGTGTGACTAGAGAGGCAAAGCTTGCATAGCATTGGGAGAATCAGGCTAGCTACCAGAGAGACAGTCATCTTTCTCTTCCTTACTTTTGATGAGACACATCTTTTATCACTCACCTGCACTAAGGCCATCGGTCTCCTCTTCTGCTGGCAGGACCTCTGTGTGTCTCAGCCGGCAGCGGCTGACCACCTGGATGCCAAAACTCAGGACTGGATGGGTCAGCAGAAACTCTGAGATGGAGCTGAAATAAGCTTTGCCCTCCTCCTGGTTCTGCACAAGTTCCATCACATACAAGACCTAAGAGGAAAGCATCAGGTAGATACCCTGTAGTAACGTAAGCAATAAGGGGCTCTTGTACCAGGAAGGACACAAGTGCACCTGCACCTTGGGCCACGGAACAGGCTAGGCACAATGGGAGAAGCCAACACACCGCCTCTCCGCAAACCCAGCATGAAAGTTGGTCAGCAGTACTGAACTAATTCTGGATTCACAGACTTTTCTGAAAATGAGAACTTTTAAAAGTTTACACCCACTAAAAGGAACCGAATGCTTTGCTTAATCAAACAGCTGCTCCTAGCCCCAACCATCTCTTTTATATGTTAACAGACCCCACATTCCCAACCTAGCAGTATTGCAGATGCCTTTTCCTCTTGCACCCAACCTCTCAACAGAACTTGCCTACCTTTCTCTGCACATCACTCAAAATCAGGTATTCAGCTGAGAGATCCAGGCAGGCCTTCAAACTAGGAAGGACACTCATGGAGCTGAATATATCCGGAGAAAACCTGAAAATGACACAGTGAAAACAGTTTCCCTCAGATGTCTACTAATAATCTTTTTCTTTAGCGACATGTTGTGTGCATTGCTGAAACCTGCCTTTTTAGGTACATAGAGAGCCGCCTTATACAGAATCAGACCACTGGTCCATCTAGTTCAGCATGGTCTACTCCGATTCTCCAGAATTTCAACCAGAAGCATTCCCCAATCCTACCTAGAAACACCAGGGACGGAATCTTGGAACTTCTACATGCAAGACAGATGCTCCAACACAGAGCTAAATCACTGGCAGGGGAACGAAGACTGTTAGTTGCCCTTCTCGGTTATCCTTCCACACATACACATTCATTACGGGCTCCTACCGTGCACAACTGATGACTAGGGCAATACTTACCGGACAGTCTGTAGGCAGGTCCATGATACAGTGCACCACATCTTCAGCTCTCGATTCTGTTCTGCTCCTGTGATGAGAAACCTCCAGAAGGGAACTCTGCAGAAATGAAAGGATGGATGAGAAGGAACGAGTGATGACTAGAAACGGCCATTTTGCTTGCTCCATAGCTTTATTAATTTGTTTGCCTTCACATTATTCCGGCCATGTGAGTGGGGAGTCGGGGTGTGGGGAGATGTTAGCTGTGCTCTGTCACGTTCCCAACAGGCCGTCTCTCCAAGTCCTCCACACATTCAGGCTCCACTTCTGCCATGGGACGCCTCCTCTTTCTATGTAGGCTTCCTGTGCCATACAGAACTCTCAACACGCAGGGACCTAAATCATGTGGGGTGCCTATAGAAGTAGAAAAGGCTCCCCACTTCAAGACCTCAGCCAAAACCCATAGAAGTCAAGATAGCTATGAGCCCTCAGGAACATAATGAAGGTGGTGGGGCCAGTGAGCACACCCCTACTTTCCTTCTCCAATTGTGTAGAGGGGTGAAAGTCTGAACAGCAAGCCTCTGAAAATCCTTAACTGGCAGATTTTCTTTCATTCAAGTTGATGCCTCTCCTCAAAAACAACTAGATACCAGACTCTCTTAACTGGCTGGTTCTCTTTGCTGAAACCAAAGCATTACAAGATTGTGGTACAGAGACTGGACCTACAGGACATGTGAATTGTACTCATGTGTGCATAGGGAATCCAGAAGCACACCATCAGCTGCTGGGAGCATTCACCCATTCTCCTGTGGGTCTGCTCCCCTGTCTTTTAACTTCTTGCAAGGAGGGGGAAGGAAGAGGAAAGAGGGGTTGTTTTCTGCGGGGCACATGGGTAGAACTGGCACTCAGCATCTGCTCCTCATTCCATGCTATTCTTGGGAATGAGGGGCAGGTAGGTAAGTATATCAACATTTTCTGGCACAGCAGCAGTGCTAAGTCATATTATGCCACACTCTACTCTTACTGCAAACACAGGGGAAGTTCGTTTTCCAGTAACTTGTTCCCTATAATTTACACAATCTTAAAAAGAGTACAGAACTCAGGAACCTTAATAAAGCTTAAGGATCAACAGGCAGCCAGAACTGATGCCAAATTTGAAGCCAGAGACTAGGTTCCCGGTTCATGGCAGGCTCATAGGCACTCCAGCCACAAGTGTTCAAGAAATGAGGGTAACACTACAAGGCTTGCCTATGTTGCATCCCACAATGCTTCTGAAATAATATTTAAGTTAAATTTACAGACATAAGGGCTCCTCCTTGCCAGCACTTACACCTGGAGGAATAGAGGAACTAGACCAGAAAGTTGTAAATGACTGATCTGTAGGGTCCTGTTACTTTATTATAGCAATGAATCTTTGTGGGGTAAATACAGAGCAAATGTATTTATTTTTCCATACAGTCCTGCTTCCCACTGGAAATGGGACATCCTTAGCAAAAAAAAACCAGAATCATGTCTTACTCTGGATCTTGTTTTTTATGGTTGTCACAGAACAGCAAGCAGGAGAGAGGTCTACCATCATGAGGCTTCCATTCATGCAGGCACCTAGGTAGGAAATCAAAGAAATGATGACTGAGAGCCCGCTCCTTCATAACTGCAGGTGTGAAATGGCTCCTTTAGGCAGCAACTTGCTCTCAAGAATCCAAACATTATTTACATGTGGACAGTCAGACAATAGAGCACAAGAACTTTAATAAAGCTTGGAGGTCAGATGCTTTGGACTACAATTTCAGTCAGTATGGTCAGTATGGGAAAGAGGATGATGTGAGTTGTAACCCAAAATATCTGGAGAGCACCAGGAATATTGTTGTAGAACAACAAAGTCATGCCAAATTAAGACTATATTTGGAGCAAGGGACTGGGCATGTAAGTAGGCTTGAGGCACACCAAATCAAGAGAACTGAGCTTCTGAAGTTACCTTGGTTCATCCTGTCCTTCTATGTAAATCTGCCAGAATTTGACAAAGCCATCATGACTTGCGGTGGCCAAGACAGTTCCATCTGGGGAAAGGGCTCCCTCACTCAGACGCTAGACAGAGACAGGGGAAAAAATCAGCTTTCACTCAGCAATACAACTTCAATGAAATACAAAGCAATGACCTGGTTTGCACCCAATGCTAAGATGTGGTTTATTTAGCTTAAATGTGCTTGCTTGTATGCCGGAACCCAACCTGGTCAACTGTGGTTTGTTTGTGGCCAAGAAACCAGAATACTGTATGTAATCATGGTTTAAAACTGGCTTATGAATCGTGGCTTGCAATAACCATGGCTTCTTATTACACCTGAACTTAATCCTGGTTTGTTTTGGTACCCCACCCCAGACCATGACCCAGCTACAGATGCACAAGTGTTTAGAAAATGCAACCAATGTAAGGTGAAATAAGCTGTGGTCACTTTGCTCATCTGTCATCCTGGTTTGTTCAACAAAGCAAAGTTACGAGTTAGTGTTACATGTGAAAAAAACCAACATGGTTGTGATATACATGTGAATCATATTAATAACCTGATGTTTCTTTCCTTCTTTCTTTTTATACAGTGAATGCTTATCAACTTTTATATCAGCAGCAGCACATATTGCCAATTTGAGCCAAAGTACTTTCGATTTCCCGGGTGTTCAGTATGTTGATAAAAAATTAAGACATTTGGGGGAATATATGTTACAGTACTTTTTCATTCTGTTTTCTCCAGGTGACAGCCTCCATCACCATCTTGTGCTCAGCTGCCATCAATGCACTGACTCCCTCTGGCTCTGACTATTTTAACTTCTCCCACTACCTCATGCATCTTTGGATCAGTGAAGTGTCAAGCACCTTTCCATTCACAGCAGGACTCTTACCCAGTCATGCTCTCAAACATCACGCTGTGCCCTCTCACCTCACTTCCCATTTTAAGGAGGCTTCTTTTGTCCCCAGTGCTGTTAAAGCAAGACATAAAGCTGTGCCATACAAAGAGCCCCCTTAAGAAGAGGCTGGAAGTTTTCCACCCATAACCTTAACAAGAGTGCTTTGAGGGGGAGGGAAAAACTGTCACAAAACCACACAATGGAAAGGTGAAAAAGATGCCATCTTTACTTGTCCAGTCATAAAGGCCTGTTCTTTGCCATATGGGAAAAGCAGGAACTCAGCAACAGTCTAATAAGCCCCAGCAAACATGTCTATGATCAGGGATGATAGGAGTAGTAGTTCAGCAAAATCTGCAGAGCCAAAGGTCCTCTGTTTCTGGTCTAATAGCTCACACACTCAGACCCTTTTGCCATTGATCCCATAAACCAAGTGGATAAAGCCACAGGCCTCTTCAGAATATTGAAAACTGTTGGATTAAGGAATTAAACATACGTAACAGATGGCTCAGCTCTGTAACGGGAAACAGACACCAATGACAGCAGCAGAACTCTTACCGTGCTGTGACCTTTTACCACAATAAAGCCTTCTTTGATGCTGGTCACTTCCACTGGCCATGAATTATGATTGGCTCGGATTATATCAAGATCCCAAACCTCTGCCTGCAAAATGAAGAGAAGAAGGAAGCACATAAACTGCATACTGAAGCTCTGCCAGGAGTGAACATAAAAGTCACCTGCCATTCCAGTTACCACCTCGCTCTGCATTCACTATCTTCCCATGAACTCTGCACCATCTCCTGTGTTTATTCCTCTCAAGTACTACACCCAAAAATAGCACAACACAACCACACTTGCCAGACTTACTTAAATAAAAGCAGAGGCTGACTTGATAAACTTGTACCAGTTTACATGCTGTGAGGTGCTTTGTGCATGGATGTATAAGAACCTGGAAAATTGACCTAACCATGGGGCACATCTTTCTAATTCCTTATCTACAACTTATTAGTACCTCAATACGAACAACCGCCTTACGAAAGAAAAAAAATCAAGACTTACCCTATCCTCATGTAAGAGTGCCAGGGTCTGACTGCCTTCCTCACAGCTCTCCTCGTTCTCATCTGGGATGAAGGGACACCATATGATCCTCCGGGAGCTGTTCAGAGGAGTCCCATCAGGTCGCTTGATGTTTACCAGGATCTCCTCTCTGATCACAAAGTTAAGGAACAGCTACAAATCACTTTCCTTTGTAGTATCAACTGCTTTGTGATTTATCCCAGATGTAGTAGAAACAAACACAGAGCTTTGCCTAGTCGGCTTTGGGAAGGCAGTGTGAGGGCTGAGTGGGGGATGCGGGCATCAGATTTTGGTCTCACTCCACCCACTATGCAACAATGCAGTGTGTGGCCCGCAGGATCCGTTTTGAAGTACTTTGCGGCCCACTTGGTATGAAAAGTTGGGCCGCCCTGTGCTAGGTAGTAAACTAGGATTAAACCACAGCTTCCTGGTTTGGATGTAATGGGTAATTGTGATTTAAGCACAACAATAATAATAACAGTAATAATTTATTATTCTCATCTTAATGAGCTATAGTTTATTAAGCTACAATTGTTACTGCCGAAGGGGTACTTTGAGTCACAATACAAGGAGTCAGAGTCTTGTTTCCTGAGTGGATAACTTGCAAGAAGAAAATATGTATAATGCCTGGATGCTGGCTGGCAGAAATAAATACTAGTACGTAAATACTAGTACATCTCTTTAAGGCAGGGATGGGGAAACTTTGGCCTTCCAGTTTTTCTCAGTTGTCAACACCCATCAGCCCCAGGCACCATGGTCAGTGGCTAAGAATGACAATATCTGGAAGGTCACAGGTTCCCTGCCTAAGATACAGAAATAAACAGTGCCCACTTCCTATCTTGTAGTTACAAAGCTGCCTCAGTATCTAACAACACTGCAGCTATCTCCTACGAAGAACAGTACTGAGAGATAAGATACTGGATTTTTCCATTCTCCATGGCCAGGCGCCAGACAAAGAGGTTGCCAGCTTCATCCAGGCAAGCGAGCTGGTTGGAGTTGAGGTGAGCAAAAGCCAGGTCTGCCACTCCACCTGTGAAGCCCTTCAGCAGGGTTCGCTCTGCCGTGCTAACGCTCAGGACCCGAACCATTGCAGAGCCATTGCTGGCACCTGTCAAAGAACAGCAACAAGGATATGACAGTTAAGATGGCTTAGGCAATGCCAGTGCACTCTCTACAGCTGTGGGGAAAGCAAGAGGACCTCAGCCCAACACAAGGCCGCTGCAAGAAACCTAGCCTAGCCAAAAGAACCAAGTTGATGGAGAGATGCCTCACCTCTAATGGCATATGCCAGGTAGGCATTTGACACAGCAATCAGGTTACCATAGTAATATTTCTGCTCCCAGTCATACCTGGCCACTGGCTGGATTTTTACCTGGAGGGCAAAAAGAAAAACAAAGACCAGCTGAAGTGTGGAATTAAATTCAACATTTGCCAAAATAGGGACAAGGCATCCATCGCTGAACATAAAACTGTAATATCATCTATATATGCTGAGGAGAGAGGAAACAGCCAACACCTAGTTCAGGAGTCACCAATCCTGTTCCCTTCTTCAGGAGATGCTGGGGACTGAACTGGAGACCTTCTGCATGGAAAGTATGTGCTCTATGTGGCACTATGTGAACGAGTCTTTAGGGACCTTTGGGCTCTTACACCATAATCCTTCTTCCCAGGTACCACAATTCCCACTGCCCTCTCTGGTTTGCAGAAACTGTTTCAGATGAAATTGCAAGCTACAGTTTGTCATAAACCAGGAGAAGGCAGGGAGGGAATCATGGCATGTGAAAGGAAGGTGAGTGGAAAGGAACTCAGGGATGTGGGAATTCTTAAGGACGTTTTCATATATCAACAAGTGGTTAAACGCTACAACTGAACCAGCCCAAGACAGCAGTTTGAAGCTAGTGCCTCAATCCCCAACCTCACACAACCATTTTCTTGTGAACAAAGGCTTCCCATGGCACTTAGGTTTCCCCAGGCCTATCACCACTGAACATTAGGGGGAATGCTAATAAGCACAGAAAACAGGCTATTCCAAGGCTGAGGCATGAATGCCTGCTTTTAAAAAAAGTCTAAGAGAAGCACCACAATACTCAATCCACCCCTCCAACTTATTACGCTCTTCAGCCTCATTCACCAGCAATCCAGGCACTGACTCCTTAAATCAGGGATGAGGAACCAGGTCTCCAGATGTTGGACTCCATCTCCCATCAGCTCCATTCAGCATGGCCAATGGTAAGAGATGGTGAGAGTTGTAGTCCCATGACATCTGGAAGATCTCAGATTCCCCATCCCTGCTTTACACGCTTGAAAAGATGGCAAGTGCTGCCCCAACTGGTTTTGTACATTGTCCAGATGAATCTTTCCCCTTTTACCTTGTTGCTCCCTCTAGCTTTACTGGTGATGCTAGAGTCACTGCTGGCTACTATCTCAACATCTTTAGCGGTTATCACCATACACGTAGAGCTATCATCTCCAGAGAGGCAGCTAAAAGAAAAGGAGAAGAAGTAGTCAAAACAAAAGGCCTCAAGGACAAACAGCTTTTGTTATGGAGAGCTAGGGAAAAGTTAGGGATAAGACTACTGAAGGCCCCCAATTTAAACAAACATGCCTGTTACTATGAAGTAGCAATTTTACCACTTGTCTTTCCTGCTGCAAATGATCTTGCATGGAGAAATGAGTGTTTTACTGGACGCAACACAAGACAGAAAACAATGCAAACCACAAGTTGCAAACCTCAATCCCAGTCACTGTCAATGAAGCCTCCATTACTGTACAAAATGTATCCCCATTAAGCTATGTATGAATGTAGTCCCTCAACTGTGAAGACAACACACCATCTTAAATTTGAGTCTCTCTGGAACAGAAGCTACAAACAATGTTACACAACTTTGAAGCAGTAATCAAGAAAGCTGGAAGCCCAGTCTTTGTAGGAGCAATTACCGAGCTGAAATTTTTTAGCAGACCCATGACAAGCTCTCCACTTTCTCCCACCAAGATACCTACATGACTTGCTTCTCCTGAAGTGCTCCCAGAGAAACTGCTTGGGGTACTGGCTTCGTCAAGGAAGCTCCATCTCCAGATGCTATGGGGTCTGGCACCAGCAAACCATTCAGGTCTCCATTGTATGAAGTGGATGATCTCTGGTTTTCGTTGACTGAACCTAAATGGGGGGGGGGGGGACAGAGCCAATGTTCACATTTATGCAGCCATTTAAAGGGTCATGAAAGTTTCTGAACCATAGTCTCCCTTTGATGGTCCCCTGTCCCAGATGAAAAGAACATAACATGGGAGAGTGGTTTCATTCAAAAGAAATGCCAAACTTTCTCTCTTTCTACTGAAACAGGAAACAAGGAGCCCATCAAGATAGTAATGTTCTAGAGAAGATATGAAAAATATTCTGTCCAAGGACAGAAAATCTGAATCAGTGGTTCTCCTCTACGATAAAAAGGCAAGTGTTTTACTCAAGGAAAGACGGCTTGAGAATATAACGCAAATCTTGGCCTCACTGCACTGGCTGCCGATTAGTTTCTGGGCCCAATTAAAGTGCTGGTTTTGACCTATAAAGCCTTAAACAGCTTAGGACCACAATACCCCAAGGACTGCCTCTCCCCATATGAGCCAATAATCATCATCTGCAATCATCATCTGAGGCCTTTCTTTGTGAGGCCTCCTTCGTGAAAGATCCAGAGCAGGGGTTAGCAAACTTTTTCAGCAGGGGGGCAGTCCACTGTCCATCACACCTTGTGGGGGGCTGGACTATATATATATATTTTAAAATGAACAAATTCCTATGCCCCACAAATAACCCAGAGCTGCATTTTACTCATGTAAAAACATGCTGATTTCCTGACCGTCCGTGGGCCAGATTTAAAAGGCAATTGGGCCAGATCCGGCCCCCGGGCCTTAATTTGCCTACCCATGGTCCAGAGTGTGCCAACACAGGAAGGGGATATTTCTGCAGTGGCTCCCTGTTGGTGGAATGCTCTCTCCAGGAAGACTTGCCTGGAGCCTGTGTTACATATCTTTAGGCACCAGGCAAAAATATATCCCTCTTCTCCCAGGCCAGGGGTCTGCAACCTGCGGCTCCGGAGCCGCATGTGGCTCTTTTACACCTTTGCCGCGGCTCCGGGGCGGATACTAATGAGGGGAGGAGGCGCATTGTGCGCCCCGACACTCCCCACTGTGGCGGGCGCTGTACTGGCTGTGACGTCGCATGGGGGCGGTGCGTGCATTAGTCACGCACCGTCCCGACGTCACCTTCCCGCCCGCCACATTGTAAGGGGCATGTACGCTGGTCACTGCATTGAAAGGGGGCATGTACGCTGGTCACTGTTTTGAAGGGGAGTGAAGAACACACACACAAAAAAAGCTAACTTGTTAATTTAACGTTTATTTCTATGAGGAGAAGTAATTCTGAGGGGTCAAACAAAGAAATAATAAAAAAGTGACAAAAAAGTTATTTTTTTAATGACGAGTTTTGCGGCTCCCAGGTTTTTTTTTCTTCGGAAACGGGTCCAAGTGGCTCTTTTTGTCTTAAAGGTTGCAGACCCCTGTCCCAGGCCTTTGGCTAATTAAACAAACTATTGCCTTTTAAACTGTGTGTTGGGGTTTGTTTTTTGGTATTGTTAGTATACTACATATTTTTGTGATTTTATATTGTAAACCACCCTATGATCCTTGGATGAAGGGTGGTATAGAATTATTAATTATTATTATTAATCAATAAAAGCATGATGGATGATGACATAACTACACACAAAGACTATTTTAGAATAGTCTTTGTGTGTAGTTTTAGGATCGCTATGAAAGCTCAATGGAGAGGTAGTTCCTCTAACCACTCTAGTTCAGTGAGAAGCCTCCATACTATGAGAATAGAGGAGAATGGAAGGGTGAGCAGGGAAAATGAAAATTGTGGCCTGCTTCTCTTCTGGTTTCCAAGTTTGGAAGTCATAACTGAGAAGGCTTGCCTTCTAGCTGTGCCTATCCTAATGAGCCGTAAGCATGGAGCCAGCAACACCACTTGATGCCTAGGCTTCAACTGGGGAGGATTGTGTGGGGAAAGGTGGTCCCCAAACTCTTGATGAGGCTATATGATTTTGCCAGGACGCTTAAAAATCTCTGGATAACTGCAATTCCAGATGCTGACTTCTGTTTTTTCCTGAAGGCTAGAATAGACCTGGGAAGGGAGTTAGAAACAAACAGGCCGCGGAATTAGAGAAAAGACAAAAAACAACTTTTTTAGGCAGGTTTACCAGTAGCAAAACAGGACATATGGGACAGAACCTATTTCTACTGTTTCATGTGCTGTCAGAAGTTGGGGCTCAGCAATCCTGCTGGGTAGATGTTAGAAGGTCAAAATCAATAGCTTCAGCCATCTTGAGCCAGGGGATTATTGTGAAGAATCCAAAAACCCAGGGCCAGAGAAGTCAGCTGATGATCCTGGGTAAAATTCCTACCCAGTCCCCTTAACTGATGGCTAATGCTAGTTTCATACTAGAGTGCAGCATGGCTCAATGCCATAAAGTAACACCGTGAGAAGAGGAAAGGTGGGTGGGTGGCACGTAGGCAGAGCACACAATGGTTAGTTCTGTACAGACAGTGAATGGACCACAGGGGGAAAGTTCCCTCTCTGCCCTCCTCAGGCCAAGTCCCCCCCCCCTTGCCAAGCCATAATCTGAGGAGACACAGAAGGCATGTTGAGGAAAGGCAGAGCTGGCCGTTGTCAGCTGCCTGCCTCACATACGATGTAAATTCCACCCAACCAGAACACAGGACCCTCCGTGAAAATGGGGTCCCAGCCTTGTATGAAAATGTACATGCCTATGGTCATAAGCTCAGGGGCAGAGCACATGCTTCGCATGCGAATGGTCCCAGGTTCAATTCCTTGCATCTTCAGGTAGGGCTGGGAAAGATTCTCAATTGAGGATCCTGCCTGAAGTCTGACTGGAAAGCAGCTGCCAATTTGGGTAGACTCAAAACTGAGTGAGATGGATCAATGCTCTGGCTTGGTATAAAGCAGTGAACAGCAGTGAACGATGTCTATATATTCCTATGCTGATCAGTGAATCACACAGAATACTAAGAATCAACTTTCGCTTTCATTTCACTTAGTTTCACATGGTTTCTTGTGGTTACAGGGACGGTTGAATAACAAAGATAACGCCTACTGGAGGAATGAAAATCCAGAGCAAGTTCAAGGAAAGGAAAGTAATAGTAGCAAAGGCATTTCCTATTTTCCACTAGAATAAAAAAATTGCCTACTGCAAATTGAGTTAATATCCATATCATTGCCCTCCACCCCCAGTAATTCTGCAATCAATCCACACTCTGCCCTGGGATATGTCAGTGATCTGAATATAGTAAGTCCTTCCTACAAATAATTAAGAGATTGGTGAATACTTTACAGCAGAGCCTTTGCTCAAAAGCTGAATATACATGCAGCACAGTAGGAACTAAACGCCACCATTTAGCCCAACAGAGCTGGGTGAGGTTATGGCAGGAAATGTCAACAGGCACAGTATGCTGCTCACATGAAATGGTTACTGCTGCAAGCACCATGGAAACAGTATCTCACAAAAGACAAAAAGGGAGGAATCTGCCTGGCACAGGAGAAGTTCAGATAAAAATCTAGGATGCATCCTGCACCTATTTTTTTTTTTAAAAATAATATTTATTGCTTTTAATCCTTACAAAAAGAAGAAAAGAAAAGAAAAAAGAAAAGAAGAAAAGAAGAAAAGCAAAAGAAAAAACCTAAGTATACTGTATTAGTATTATAATATGTGCAGATAGGTATATCATATTCATACTAGCCATTCAGCTGTTTTTACACCAATGGAGAAAGACAACATTGCCCCCATACACCAATGTTCTTGTTCATGACTTATGAGGCTAATGCAGTTTTCAAGGCAGAAATGTTGTGATTTCCTCCTCAAATAACGTACAGCACAGCATGCTAATTAGACACACTTTACTAAAGCAACAGGTGCATTCCAAACTATCCCTTTAAAGACAAACCTCTCCCATACTCTGCACTGCAGATATTTCCAAATTTATGAAGATTCCACAACTAGAAAGCTACTCACTCAACTTTGTCCATCACTCCATCCGCACATCATTCTTACCACAATACTAACCAGGTAGACCACCTATCGGTGGGGAGATAGTGTCTCAGCAAGGGCACTATTTGATTTGGCTGCCTTGTCATGTCCAGCACTGGATACATCCTGGAGCACTGCCCAGACCTCCCTCTGGATAGGTAAGGAAGCTGCTCAGGCATGACTCTAGCATGAGCCACAGTCTTAACCCTACCTTCATCTTTGCCTTGTCTGGATTCAATCTCAAGTGTTTTGTTTATATCATCCACTTGCCTGTGGCCTCCTCACACTGTTCAGATCTGAGGCAGCCATTGCTGGAAACTTACATAATGAACTAGAAACCTGGGTGTCACCTTCTTGTTAATTATATCCAACTCCAAAGCCCTGATAATATTTCCCAGCACCTTCATGTAGTTGTTGAGAAACACAACTTGTGGAGTACCACAACTAACTGTGCCCCCTCCAAAAAAAAATTCTGAATGCAGCTGGGTAGAAAAAAAACAAGACATAGGAGTGGGAGACCAGGCATACCAGATATATGTTCAGTATACAAAAATGTTATGATCTACAGCAGGAGTGGCTAACTCCTGATTTGGTAAGTCAGATAAGGCCACCATTTTTTTCTGGCCCTACAAGATCCTACCAAGTCGTAAAATAGGGTTTAGATCTGACAACACTATTGCTCAGTCCTCCTTCCAACTTGAGAAATGTAGCAAAAGCAACTATTAATACAGAGAATTGCAACCGGAATATGACTACAAAAACAAAGAAACCAAAGAACGTACATTAAGGAAAGGTCAAGTCATCCAGTATTTGTTAAAGAGCCATAGAATAACAGTACTGAATCGCTGGTTGTTCATTCTCAGCGCCAGCTTGAGCGGCCTGGCCAACCACACCTTGCCTAGAGTGCCTTCACAAGCATCTGCAGATATATGACACCAGACTCTGGGCTGCAGGCTTAAGCTGCAGGGGGAAATGGCCTTTGAAAAAACAAGCAGTCAAAGTCAAACCAAGTGCCTGCTCCATTAAAGAAGGGGGCGGGGCAGAAGCAGAACATGAAGGGGGTGGGGTAGAAAGAGGCAGCCACGTTTGAAAGAAAGCTGAGCACCACACTCCACCAAAAAGAGCAGAAAGTACTGATGCAGGAGCCACAGTTGCAGAGGACCTTTTTAGTCAGATGGGACTTTTTGGCCCCAAACGGGAAGCCCCATCCTTGAGTTCTGGTTACTCATAAGTAGGTCTCCACTGTGCTCAAGGAGGCTCACTTCCAAACAAGTAGACGCAGGATTGCAACCCCCTACCGTAACCCGGCACAACCAGACAACAAATCCCATCATGCTCCGTTGGGTTTACTCCCAAATAAGCGTGTATATAGGATCGCGACCCCCTGGGCTCTTCTCCCGCCCGTCGCCTCCCGCTCTCCTGCCAGCGCCGTTGGCGCCTTCCCGCTCACGCGGGATGGGCTGAGCAAAGGGGAGCACAGCCGCCCGAGACCACGAGCCTCATTTCAGCCACTCACTCCCCAAAGGAGCTGCTTCCAAGGAAAAACCCCCGCCTCCTTTTTAGGGTCCCGGCCCGAGAGCCTCACCGCTCGGCCGATCCAGCTTGAGGATGTCTCGGAGATGCTGAGTCGCGTCCTCGATATCGATGCTCGCGGAGGCCATTGGGCCCCGCCAAGTCCGCCAGCAGTACCACAGCTACAGCGGCTTCCACCGCCCGGACAGGCCAAACCCCACTTCTCCGCCCCCACTTCCGCTTCCGGTCCGGTCATTGCTTTTCTTCCCCCCTGCAAATGGTATCCAGACGTCCGGGTTCCGCCTCTCCCAGCAGGGAATAAATACAGATGGTGTACGAAGCAGGCGGGAACGCGCAGCAAGGAGAACGAGGGCCGGGAAGAGGGCTCACCCTCGCACGTACAACCTGTAGCCTTTTAAACTGTGGGTAGGTGGGGGGTATTGTTTTTATATGTTCATTTATTATGTATGTTTGTATTTTTATATTGTAAACCGCCCTGTGATCCTCGGGTGAAGGGCAGTACTGTATAGAATTTTAATAAACACCCTGCATGGCAAGCAGACAAAGCTGTAGGAACAGCTTCTGTACCATCATTTTCAGCACTGCCTTTGTCTGTTGACTTTGGCCTGTTACACAGAGCCTCTGTCAATTTAAAAACACACCAACCCTATTAACATAGAGAATAGCCTGTAGCATACAGAAAATGAAATACTGCCAGCAGCTGCTGTATATAAGTAATTTGTCCACTGTTCTTGATAAATTACTTGAAAATGTTTGACTTTATGGCATTAGAAGTAGTTTCACCATCCCTCTCATTTCCTTATTGTTTTGCATGAACATGTACAATAGCCCCCCAACCCACAAGACATATTAAGGCAAGTTCTGCACAAAGCACTGAAAATAATATTTTATATTTCCCAACATTGTTGTTTTAAGGTTCCATATCAGGCTTGTTTGACCTAGAACATTTGCTTTGCATGCATTAGGCCGTAGGATCAATGCTTTGCATATTTAGGTAAAAGACTCTTGAGTAGTAAAACCTGGAAAATCCTCGATCACAATCTGGAAGAATTGCTGCCAATCAGAATAGAGGCAATGCTAGAAGCTTCTTATCTACATACAAAATTATTCTGTCAAGAACAGCAACTTTCCTTTATCCCTACCCACCTCCTACAAGGAAAATTACACTAGATTTCTAAATGGAAAAGCTTTCCTGGGATACCAAGCCTAGAAATGCACTAGTGTTGCTATTGTTCCCCAAATCCACAAACCACATCTAAGGTGGTAATACCTTTCAGGCTGTGCCTCCACTAACCTTTGGTTTGTTCTGGTTCAAAACCTTTGCAACATCATTGCAATAGACAATTCACAACCAGAAATAATGCCCGAGTTCTTTTCTTTCCTCCTCAGTCCCCTTCCCTTGAATGTCATGCATTTTAGATTGTAAGCCTGAAGGGAAGGACTGTCTTATGATTGACATTTGTAAGCCACTTTGGCATCCCTTTTTGGCTGGAGAGATATATATCTTAAATAAAATAAATTTTATAACACATGATGAACACATACATGGACCACAAAGGATTGCATAGGACGATGTAGTTATCCCCATATTGTGCACTGCAGTGTACGTAACATGAAAATTTGCCTTAATAACCTAAAAAGGCAAGTATGCTTGCCTCACATTTCATGTATTCTCCATTATCTGTAGACCACACATCAATAGCAAAACAGAAAGTTTACCCTTCGCGAGCTTATTGCCCTCTTATCAGCCCCAGCCAGAATCACTGATGATGGGAGTTACAGTCCAGAGAAATGAAGGGCACTATGTTGGGAAAAGCTATTCTACAAGTTGGCATGTTATCACACATTTTGTTCTTTCAGAATTCACTAAGTGGTCAGGATAACTATTCTCTTTGGGGCTGAGCATAAAGTCCTCTCCAGGGTGGGTGGGGCATGGGAATTACATGGGAAGGAAAAGGGGCTGCCACTATTAAACAAATGGTGACAATACTAGGCTTGTTCACATAAAGTGCTGCCCCTTCCCTTTTATCACTAGACAACAGGGAAATTATTTCAGAGATGAGAGGTGTCCTCACACAACAATCTAAACACAGATGAGTTATGCTGGCCCCCTATTCTTATGCTGCCTCATGAAGCAAGACAGCACACAACACTTCCTCACTTTTTCTGGTTTCTAGTCTTAACCTTAAAGAGCCTTTATTTAAACATTTGCTGCTGATACAATCTTAATAAGTCAAGATTATACAGTAGATATGGTATAGGTAGGTAGTATTACATCACATAAGTACAGCTTATTTATTGGCAAAGCCAGTGCTGGTCTGCAATTGAAATTCTGCATTTCTACAAATAGTGTTTTTCTCCCTGTGTACATCAAGCATCTGCTATAAAGCAGTATGTAGGCTGCTGCAGTTTTCGGAACATGATGTTTCTACTGTCAACTGATGACAAGTTTTGTATAGAAGCGAATTCTCAGTGCCTTCTTTTGTATACCCCTCACAAAAAGGAGAACCCCACCACAATATTGACTGGATCCAAACCCTGCTGTTTTGGGTGCTGGCCTAGAACTGCAAAAATACACTTATGGAGCATGTGGCAAGCCATGGTATGTGGCTGATGAGCTGTGCTTTGGTAGTTGCACAGGTCTGCTCTATGTATTGCCCCAAAGCAAAGTAGCACTTAGCAGTTTTATGAAAGAATTTACACTATTTTCAGAATGAGCAGTTTAACAGCTTTCATCTCCTTACACATAATCTAGAATCCTAGATCAGGCTTTCTATCATATACCTTCTTGTAGCAGTTTATAATATCCTAAGGATGTTTTCTGCCCTGAAAACAAATGATTACAAGGCAGTTTCCATTAAGGGATGATAGGAAGGATGGATTTCTCCTTCAAATTGGGTTGGAGAACACAGCTTTTTATTGCCCTTCTGAGCAGCCTCTACCTACTGACTTTAACATTTTCTCAAAGGGCAAACCAATTTTTAATAAAATGCCATAAGCTAATGTTGTGAAGGTGACACAAGATATTGGGAAACAGTCACTCTTCTCTTATGGATGATAATAAACATTCCTCATTAGCTTGGCCAAAGAGTAATGCCCCCCTTCCAACAAAATGTTGCCTGTGAAAGACATTCTCATGAAGTTTTATAAGGCATTTTGTTTTCATATGGCTATTAAGCAAAGCTCTCACCAAGACTTATACAACATCCAACTCAAAACATGGTACCTATGATGACCTCACCCAAAGATCTTCATCTGGTGTGCTAAATTTAAAATGAGGCTATCTGGAATTGCCTCATCTTATTTAGATACAGAGACAACCGTTTCCCAATAGTTGCCTGATCACCTGATTTGAAGGGTTAAGTTCTAAACAAACTTGGCACTAAGTTCTAAACATCACTGGGCCTTCTGCAAACTAAACCTGTACACATGCATTACGGCATGGATGCCAGCCTAAGCCCTCTTCCACAAGCACATTTTAAATTCATGTAACTGGCTAATGTTAACCAAAATCCTTGCAATGAAGTGATGTCTATGGAACTACACCTCAAGGACCGTAAGCGGCAGCTGTAGTCGCCCCCAAAGCATTGGCTTGCCAGGGACAGTGACGGTCCTTTAGATCACTTCTGTGTAGGAAAATGAAAGCACAAAGAGAGTGGGTGAAGTAGAATGATCAGAGCAAGGAATCCAAACAAGAGCGAAGCTGAAATGGACTTTTGTAAACCATCCAGGGGGGATTAGAAATCTAGCTTTATTTCAGGATATGCTTGGAAATGCATTCCTTCCTTGCCTTGGTTTTTATATTGATTTGGTGCAGACTACAGCCACCTCTCAGTAGATGTGATAGCAAATCCATTTCTTCAAGAGATCTTTTTCCATAGTTGAGAAAAACACACTTACTGTTCCTCCTACTCATTGACATATGAAACTAAACAAGTATCAGGTCAAGTGCCCAGCACAATTTGGAAATAGCTCAGTTAAACTTTAGGAAAGGCCCATGGATGCAAGTCTGCTCACCTCACCTGCTCATTAATAAAAATCCTATAAGGATATTTTGAAAATATGTGTTGTCTCCACCACTATGTTGTTGCAGCAAATCAGCAGAGAAAACGTATTTGGAATTTTCTTAGCAGTTTAGTAGCACTGGTACTATTTAATTACTGAAACACTGCTATTGGTGGCATGTGGGTGCTGCTTACTTCAGTAACAATACTACAATAATTCAGGACATTATCCGAAGCAAGCCACAGGCAAACGTAAAAAGTAGTGTGATTGTACTAGGCTAAAGTTATAGTTGCTTTAAAATGGCTGTCCTGGAAGGGCAAAACTCTCTAAACAATTCATGATGATATACGGACCCATGTCTTGAACACTAGAGGAAAAGCAAATGGTATGAATATGCTAAATCTTGTGAACTTAGTGTAGAGAAAGAAGCCTGGAAAAAGTACATTCTACATTGCTGTTTTTATGCATAGTCTTCCATCTATTTCTGTAAGAAGGACTGAATAAAATGATTGATGCTCAGTGTAATGATCTGCTTTGCACGTAAGTAATTAATATAAATCCGTATTTCGACTTTCAGGGGAAGGAAATGTCTCAACTTTCAGGTATATGGAGCATTTGTTAAGCCTTAAACAATGGCAAAAATGTACTACAAAAGAGCTATGGAGACGTTAAGAACTTCAAAGTTCTGCCAAGTCGTGCGTTTCCAGGCTAGGTATTCAGATGTATAGCTGAAGATGCAAGAATCTAGTTACATAGTGAACATCCAACAACGTAAACTGTTAAGAAAATTTCATGGTTTTATTGTATAATGTAGCACTGAAACATCTGAACAAAAAAAAAAAAATCAGTATCTCAGCTGGATTCAGGCTGCCGTTCTTTCCTTTCCTTTTGCTTCTTTGGGCTATTAGAGAAACTTGTCAGTACAGAAACACAACCTTTAGCATTACGGATGCTTCCCGAGGCATGCTGGTAAAAACACACATTTCCCTTGTCAAATGCAGCTAAGTCTAACTTCCAAACATCATGCACAAGGAACTCTTCTAGTGACACAACATAAACTCTTCAGAAGGGCATGTCGCAGGTCTTGCTTGCTTGCCGTGGTGTTGCAGGTTTGTGTATGATATTTGGAATGTTCCATGAATGTGATTAATATCTGTAAGGAGGAGAGGAGAAAAGAAAAGTACAGGTGCCTCAGGGATGCTGTCTCAACCAAAGTTGTGCAATGCTAGCCTGAACATGTCATTGGTGCAAACCCAAGCATCATTGATGTTCTTTAATAGAAATATCTGGTGGAATCCCATAATAGGATCTTCATCGGCCTGTGAAGACAAAATAAAAATAAATTTTAGAAATTCTCTACTACAGCAAATGTCTAACAAGGCAAATTCCTGCAGCTGGTGCCAAATGCTGTCATGCATACTTCACCTGTCTGCACCAACATTCAGCTTTCAGATTTATCATGTCATCCCTGTGCTAACGAATTAAGGTAGGCAAGATTCTGACATGCATTTTTGAGTCTTAATGATGCAAAATTACAATGGCATGGACAATACTCAAAGAGCAGTAGAAACATGGAGATGATCCATTACCATTGTAGCAATTACTGCTGCACTACAGATAATGTTTATGCTTATGGAAGTTGAGAATTATAAGCTTCTTGAGAATCAATACAACCCCTTAACAACAATTCGAGGAGGTAGTAGTGTGTTTGAGAGTTCCTGGTTAAGTCCTACTAAAGCCAACAAAATAGGCATAAGGTTTAGAATGTACAAAAAGATAGGGCAATAAAAAAAAAATGGGATGGTGAGTGGTGGTCAAAAATTTGAAAAATGCCATGTCCTTATAACAATCACTAATATATTTGGCATAAGAATGAATCCCTTCAAATAGGAGGAATAAAGCCATTACAGTGACATTCAGTGGGGAAAGGCTGGCAATTATTGACTTGTTCACATCTTCTAGAATATATACCAGTACATATAATGTTGCATTTCAGCTCCATATAATTTTTCTGCAAAATTCCATGGAGCAGTTAACTGTGAGCTAGTTTGTTCATAGTTTAGAATAAACTATGGTTTAATGCATGGGCGTAGCCAGGATTTATTTTAAGGGGAGGCAAGCATTATTGCTGGGGGGCAGAAGTGAGCTATCTGTATTGCAATTGGGCACTTAAGTATTTTTCATTTATTTACTTGTTGTGCCCCTGCTCCCCCTAGCTATGCCCATGGTTTAATACAAACTACCTGTGTGCACCAGCACACTGCTCTTAAGTGCCTACTCTGCTTCTTCCCTGTTCTTGCTGTTGCCAGGGATGAAGCAAACCTACATGTCAAATATTTTGAATAGCTAGAACTATGACCTGTGCTTTGACTGTCACCTTATCCAAAAGATGGCTGTACTCAGCAAATTGGCTCCAAATCTAAAAATGCACTCTGCACTCAAAAAGAAATATAACCAGATCTAGATTCTAAATGCATACCTGTCCATGCCATCCACACACACAATCTCCACTGAAGCTGAAACAAGTGGGCAAAAGTGGCTTCAGAGTGCCACAGAAGAGACATATATAAATGCTTCCTAAAAAGAAAGTACTTTTGCATATCCCCGACAGTTGTTTCTCCCTCTGATTATTAGCAACCAAATCAGGTAAATGTAGAGGCCTCACAGACCCATGCTGTACATACCAAGAGCCATTCTTACTGCTACAGTTTAAAAACACCTGCCAAATCCTTCTTAAGACCCCACTTTTTCTGTGAAGCCTTTGTCTTAATTCTTTTCCCTAACTGAAACAAAACCTAAAATAAATACATTTGCTCACCCATTCTTTGCCATTTCCCTTTCCCATCTCCTCCAACACTCTTGTTATTTAAACTGTAAACGTCCTGAAGCCCAGACCCAACTGTGTTTATGAGCTGCACATTTGTGGTGCTTTAAAGTGTAACCTGACCTTGGCTTAAGGGCATTTTCCTGATCTAAGAGGAATCTTGCACAGATATACATACAGGCTCCAGCTCAGACAACTCCAAACACAACAAGGTGAGTGTTCATTGTGTGCCACGCAGATGTCCTAGATTTCTAAGCAATGCTAGATCTAGGGTGTTAGGCAAGCAACTGACTGGCATAAAAAGTTATGCTAAATTAATTCTGCAGCAGCTGGTTCCAAGTGGAAAACTGCATTTGCTCAATTCAAAAGCCACAACCCTGAGATGAGCAGGATTCTCATTCTTCAACCCTGCTTTAAGAACACACAAGCAATGTCCATGCTGTTCAGACTGCAAGTTCAACTAGGATACAGGAGCAAGCAGTGTGCTTCTTACTCAGTGAGGACTGTGAAGATCAGAGGTAGAAGGCGGCCAGAGGCTAAACATTGTGGAGTGCTAGCCTGAAGACTTCATTGGTGCACACCCACGCACCTTGTAAGCTTTTCAACAAAAAGGTCTGATGGAAACCTAGAATTTGGTCATCATCTGCCTGAGCAGAACAGGAGAGAAACCATTACTAAAGTGATAGGCTCTGTAGATACAGAATGCCAGTCTCCTTGCAGGATTCCATTATGAGTGTATAGCAAGAATGTTCCAGGCATGCAACAGGTACCTCTACTGCTGCCAATTACTCAGGAGCAGTACAATAAGGACAAGCTTAAAAATTAGTAAGATAATTTCAGTCCACATTAAAGGGACTACATTAACTTTTTTCCTGGAGGTTTTTGTAATGGGTAATTCATATAATTTCATTCGCAACAATAAATCTTCCAATAGCTTACAATAAGCCACATGCAAACCATGAACTTAAAAGCCTGCAAACTAAAGTTGCTTATCTGTGAAGCTTTGAACAGATGAAGCTGCCTTATATAGTCAAACTATTTTTCCACCCAGCCTTGCACTGTCAATTCCAATTTGCAGCACCTCTGAGGTCTTTCCCATCCCTTCTACATGCAATCATTTGAATAGCAGGTGTTATTGGCTGAACCTAGAACCTTCTGCATACAAAATACTTGCTTTACCATGGAGTTTGGGCCCTTTCAATTTTATTACAAGTATGAAGATGCCAAGTAAACTCTGAAAGGTTAGCATAAAACTTACTAGAAAACAGGTGTTTGTCTATAAAGCTACACTAAGTAATCTTTATGTTTAGATAGAGATTAACTTTCTTCTTTCCAGAATCTATCTTCCTAAATGCCTTCATCTGCCAAGTGATGCAACAAGTATGCACTGATAATGAATACTAGTGATATCACACTGACTACTCTTTTGGACAGGGCAACATGCAGAAGATATAGGAAGCACCACTGATCTGCACTTTCCCATTCTGCCTAAAAGTGCCCGGGAAGATGCACATGATTCATTTCTGGCAAGACATAGAAGTGAAGCCCTTTCTCCTTGCATCGCTTCTGAAACAGCATTCAGAAAAAAAGTATATAAGCTTTATCTTCTATGATAAAAAATCACCCCATCCGTACATTAATCCTTTTACATAGCCTCTGTATATAACAAGAAGATGTGCATTCTTTTAGATTACTGCTTCACATGTTGGCTTGAAAACCTGTAAACGGGCTCTCGTTCTTGGGTGGGCTAGCCTAGATGCTGACACTCATGTCAGCCATACTTCTCAGACATCACACAAACATCAGTTTGAAGTGGATCCCTTCTGCATAGGACTCTCTCTACAAGGACACAAACTCTACATGCATTGAACTTGTTTCAGACTAGAGCTGACTGTGTATCAGTATCTAGGACAGTGGTGTCCAAACTTTTTTCAAAGAGGGCCAGATTTGATGAAGTGAAAGGCCGTGAGGGTTTTTTAAGGATTTTACCCCAGGAAATAAACTGGGGCCGAATTAAACCGACTGGAGGTCCAGATTAGGAGGCCCCTGAAACGGACTTTGGACATGCCTGAAAAAACAACAGCACCCCTTGTTTTTTTTATGCCACTTTTGCAGGCTTCTCTTCAACTCTTGCAGTAAAGTTAAACTCGTAGCAATTTCTAAAGGGCTGTTGCAGCAAAGTCTTGTAGCAGCATCTTAAGAGACAAACTAATTTATTATAGCATAAGACAGACTCAGGACCCACCTTTAACTCCAAGCATGTATTTGGGGACCCATTTCTCAATCTTTTTCCATATAGCTGCATGCGGTGGTACTGCTGTTGCAACCTACCTTGGACCAGGCTATGATCCAGTAGTGGGTCCTAACCCACCAGCTGAAGAATAATGGTGTGAGCTGTCATGAGCTACAGCCCGTGAAAGCTTTTGCCACAATATATTAGCCTTTGAACTGCTACAATATTCTTTTGTTGTTTTTACATTCCTAGCAGGTATTATGAAGTAAAAGTATTTTGAAGCTGGATTACATGTGGGGCAAAGTGTGTCCATATGCACTTAACACAGGCCCAGAGACGGAAAAGTTCTTTTGTGCCTCCTTCCGATGGGCTGTGTGACACACCTTTGCTGTGTGACGCAGTGCTTACCAAAGTCCTTGTGACCAACATTCCAAGTTCAGTGTTGCCAGACAGTTTTCTTTAAAGTTGTCCAACTGAAAGTCTAAGTTTTCAGAGAATAGCCTCACAACCCTGCCTGCTCACAGGTGTATTTCAGTTTCCAAGGCAGCACAAGATAACAAGCTTCTTTAACAACGGCTCCACCTAGAGATTTTTGTTTAAGCTCCTCTGTCAGAGAGGGAACAATGCTATGTGTTGGTTAAGGCCCCGGCTCCTTTCCATCAGTTGTAACAAACTTGGTGACTCATTTGGTTCCTCCCCTCCAACTGGTAGCATGAAGGCCTTTACACCCACATCAGTCAAAACAAGACATAGGAGTATTTAACGTTTACAAAGTCAATGCAACATACAGTGGTACCTTGGTTCTTGAATGGCTTAGTTGCCTAACAAATCGGCTCCCAAACGCTGCAAACCCAGAAATAAGTGTTCCAGTTTGCGAACGTTTTCCAGAAGCCGAATGTCCAACGCAGCTTCCACTTGAGTGCAGGAAACTTCTGCAGCCAATCGGACGTCGTGCCTTGGTTTTCGCATGGTTTCAGGAGTCGAACAGACTCCTGGAACAGATTAAGTTTGAGAACCAAGGTACCACTGTATTAGAGGGGAGGGACGGGGACCCCTCTGAGAAAGAGCCCTGGTCATTCAGCTTCCATGACCCAAGCAAAAGTAGGTCTGTTCACTTGCAGTGCTAGAACAACCTGCTCTAATGGATTAGACCTGTTTCAGATGTAATTGTCAATCTGTGGTTTGGCAGTCATGAACAGGCTTTGGGCTCAAACACACCTACTCCCCCTCTCCTCTTTGTGCTCTAATTCTCTCCCTCCTTGGTTTGAGCAAACCATAGAGTGGGGGTGAGGGAGGCAGAGAACATGTGAGCCCAAACTCACTTGCAGTGGCTAAACCCTGAACCGGTTCTGAAATTGGACTCCAACTATTCCTTTCACAGGACCAAAAGTTGAAAAAAGCACTTACCTTAAGCTGCCCAACTACCATACTGAGTATACAGCTGTCAGGCGTGGGCTGATGGTCTTGCGCTGTGATACTGTGCTGTATTTTCTGAAAGGGAAGGCTCTGCAAGCAGAAAGAGAAAAAAAATGTAAAGTTTTGCTTAAAATTTTTATGGTTAAGCTCATCTGTGACGCAATCTGTGGCACCAAGCCAGGTTCTTAGGTGTTGAATTAATTCTGAAAATGCAAGCACCCTGAAATGTATTCATTCAATCGCTGACCAGTTTTTTGTTTAAAATAGCATGTGAAAGTTCAAGCCAGGCTCCCACATTTTTGGTCATCATGGTAAGCATGTTGCTGCTTTCTTGTAAGCAATTCCTCCCAACCTTGCAGCTGCGAGGCAGTAATTGTACTAGCAGTTTCATGGTGATTCCCACCTCCTCCCTCCCCTGCTCCAAGGGAAGCTGATGTGTGTTTAAGGTGCTGCTGCTGCACTTAAGCTGCACAGCCAACAAGCCACCCTCCCACCTTATTTCCAGCTCTAAACTTGGAGCTGGGGAGGGGAGCAAGGAATTATTCCAGACCTTGTATAGAGTGTCATGTGAAATCAACAACATAGGAAAGTGCAGTCATATTTTTTGGTCTATTAAGATTAGGCAAAAATTGTGGACCTCTGAATTCAGCCCTGTTAAGGAGAAACTCACCTATTCCAAAGGGTGTTTCTTTTGAGCTCCATTGCTGTTCTCATTCTGGACAGAGTACACACAAAACAAGGAAAGAGAACCTGTAGCCTCCAGATGTTATAGATAATAAGTCTGGTTGTTCATTATCATGCTGACTGAGGCCAACAGGCATTCAGCAACATGTAGATGGTTGCCAGAGACTACCATTGCCTCTCACTTAGGAGAAGCTTTATCCTGAGACAATTAGCATGTTATAATCCCAGAAACTGTTGCAAGGCTATATCTGCTCTCAGTATACAATATAGACATGTGTGCAAAATAAAAGACACTGTATAATCACTTATTGTTGTTGTATACTTAAAAACTTAAAACCATCTTTACAAGCATCTGGAGGGCTACAGGTTCACCACCCCTGCTTTATATAGACTGCAACCACGATGAAAGATGATGCAACTGTGCTGTCTGGAACACATGCAAATAAGGTTTTGTATAGCTAGGTGGCTAACAGACTGAGCCACCAATCAGGATGCCCTGGGCCTTCATCTGCTTGGAACTCAAGAGATAGCCTTAGGCTAGACACACCTCCTCAGACTTCATCTGCAGTCTGGAGATAATAAAACTGAACCACTTTACTGAGTTAGCACTAGAACAAAATAATGCATGTGAAGCACTTTGAACATTCAAGTACACTATATAAATCTAAGGGTGTGTTTTTTCATCCTCACTATCACTGAGTCCAATGGGACTTACTTCCTAAGTTAACTGTGCTTTACATTTCTGGAACTGAAATCAGTACAATTTCAGACAGGCAGATTAGAAATGCAAAAGGGTGCAGTCTAAACCTGCTTCCTATAAATAATACAACAGAAGTAACACCAGAACTTGGCCTGCACCAAAACGCAAATCTTTCAAAAAGAATTCTGAGCTGAACAGAAATGTCCGGCAATGAAGAGCACAGGAACTTACTGAGAGTTTTTCAACAATAGCTGCTTTGCCCTGAAATTGTTGTCCTTCCCATGTAAGGCATGAGGCATCTATCTGAAATTATTAAAAGAGGAGGGAGAGGGAGACGGTAAAAATCTGCTTGGAAAAGTAAGATTTCATGTTGCATAAAGAAAACAGCAATAGTTATTAAACTCTCTCAGCTACACACAGAAATAGAGAGGAGTAAGTTTGCACCTTTTTCAGAAGGGCTAAGCACAGGCTCAGCTGAATCAGAGGTTGGCTCCATGCCAAAGACATCCAGCAAATTTTGAGTCCTAGTAGTGCACCACAGCAGGCAACATCCTCCACCCCAATCACAGACTCCTTACTTTTGGCCCATACAATAAGGCTGTATTTCGTAAGTATAGGGTATGTATTTGTTCTACACAGCAACTATAGACCCACAGGCCACATTTTGCCTTCTAGAAGCTACTTATTGCTTGAGAGCTGTCCATCTAGGAGGTCTACAATTTGGCCTTGCTAAACATGCCAAAAAGTGCAATTGCCAGGCCTCCCCACCTGTCAAGACCTTACCGCCAGGGTATTTAATTTGGGGAAGGCCAATTTTTTTGGTGGGGGGGGAGTGCAGGCCATTGGACTCTACTGCCTCAGTGCCTTCAAACTGCTTAATCCAATGCTCTCTGTCTCGGCTTGGAACAGGAAAAACTAGCAGGGTATGCATTTGTGCTGAAGAATCTTCACCCACATCTCCAGCCTCTAAGTTGGGAGGAAGCTTGGTTGCTCATCATGCTTACCACTGGACAGTGCCACACTTAAAGCTTGCCATTTAGAAAATGGGCTTTTGCTATTTTGCTAGGAAGCCAATTGGTGGGGTGGAGGAAGGCTGTGGTCTCCCATCTTTGCTCCACTCTTCCAGCCAACTACCTCTTGGTCAAAGATCTATAGTCTAACCTCTCCCTGTTCTTGGACCCTCAGCTTTCTAGCTTCCATCTACTTCAATTTATACAGCAAATCTTATAAATCTAACACCCTTTGGTAACTTATACACTATATGGGACTAGGAATGACCAAAGTCAGTCAATCACCATTTTTAAAATTGTCATTCCAATAGCTTTCATGGATTTCCCTTGTGAAGCATACACTATTAAGAACAAAAAACAGACAAAAAAGGCAGCTGTTGAGGCCCTTCATTCCCATAAAGTTTTAACAATACAGAATGATGCAAACTGTCATTCAACATGACAGTTGTTCAGAGCAGCTGCAATTCACTATTTTATCCACGAGCATTTTCCAACTGGATCTGCAATCTCTACCACCTGCCATTCTTCACCAGAACCTTTGGAAGTGAAAATTGACCCGCCAATATAAAACCAGATCACCTGCTATGAGTAGAAGTGATGTGGCCTGGGCACAGAAGTTATAAGAAGCATTTCATTCTCACATAAGTTGTCCAATATGCTTAGCAATCATCCATGTTTCAATATGGTCAGAAGTCAAATTCTAGCAAAAATGCCATTTTTAATTCCCTCCAGAAAAATAATTGTTAGACAAAGGAAGAATTTTCCACTTTGTTCCCTGGCTTTCTTTGCTTTTAGGTACTCAAACCTTAAAAATTCTGAAAATCCATTTCAATTTATCCCATGAATAGTGCTAGAGTATGGACGGCATCTAGTAATAGCAAAGTATGAATGCTTGAGGTAAAACACATGCTTTCCTGCCAACAAAGTTTAGAGTCCTATGTGCATAAGCATCACTCTTGCATTCTGATGCATTCAGGCAGTCCCTAAATGCACTTAGTTCTCTTGAAACACTCAGGCAATGCCAACCTAAAGGTCAGGTACAGCCTCTAAGCTATATACAATGTATTGAAGTGTATTTTGAACCCTCCCCAAGTTTGCTGACAGGAACTCGGAGAAAAGACAAAAACTGCATGTGTAAAAGTTAAATCAGCACTGTGCTGCTGATCACTTTAGTCTAAGCATTACTAAGGCTTCATTTATTTGTTTCATATTAACAATTCATCCCGTATTACTGATCTGCCTAGGAGATCCTAGTTTATTTAGAAAGGCAACTGAACATCTAGAGTGGAAATGTCACCATTTATTAGAACTTTTGTTTCTCTTTGGAACAGTGGTATGGAAGGAGTGGTCGACACAGTCACTCCCAAGGGCCTCTCCAGCACTGCTGAGCATGGTTAGACCCTGGTTTTCCAGGGAGTTGTGGGTGAAGCAGGAGGCAGCGAAAACAGACAGAGCACAAATGGTTTAAGTCTCCTAACAAGCATGACTTTGTGCTGGTGAGTGTATAATCATGCCTACCACATGGCAATGAAGAATGTTTACTTCACTGCCACAATTGCATCCTCTAGTAGACATCCAGCAGAGCTTCTCAGGATGGCGAATGGGTTGGCAAAATCTACCCTTGTTGGAAATATATGAACCTACTGAGGCCTGCTGTGACACATTTTAGAGCACTTTTAAGGTAAAGTCATTGGCATTCATTCTGAATTAAACAATAATGTTTATACAGTATCAGAGAGAATGTCTGGAGCACCATTTTGTCAGATTGTGGGGCATTTATTTCAGTTGCTGCATGCTAAGAATTTGAACAAGACGCCTGAAGCTGTTCAGCCAACTAAATCTGCTCTTGATCCTGCACTTCATGCCTATAAATGCTAGGCAGCGCCTGGCACGCAGAGGGAAAAACAAGCTCCACCGGTCTGTTCCTCCCTAGGTTTGAGGGCCAGAGCGTGATGGTGTCTTCACCCAGCGGTATACTGCGGGAGCAGTGGGAGTTTCACCTGTGATATACCACCAGGTGAAGGCGCCATGCTTTGGTAACCTCACATTCTTGACTCCAATAACTTGCTTTACTGTAGCTACTGTAAAATGAGGCCACTAGAACGCCGAGTGGTGCATCAAATCAAAGTCATAGAACATGTTGACCAATCAATGGGGTGGGTACTTTTCAACTGACTAGAATATCTGAGCAAGTAATTGACCTAATAAGACTGCCTATTTATAACTGTGTACAGTGGTACCTCGGGTTACATACGCTTCAGGTTACATACGCTTCAGGTTACAGACTCCACTAACCCAGAAATAGTACCTCGGGTTAAGAACTTTGCTTCAGGATGAGAACAGAAATCGTGCGGCGGCAGCAGGAGGCCTCATTAGCTAAAGTGGTGCTTCAGGTTAAGAACAGTTTCAGGTGAAGAACAGACCTCCAGAACGAATTAAGTACTTAACCCAAGGTACCACTGTATGTCAGAAGCGGGAAACCTTTGGCTCATCAGATGTTGCTTAACTACAGTGTCCATCAGCTCCAGCAAGCATGGCCAATGGCCAGGAATGGTTTGGAGAGCCAAAGGTTTCCCACACCTGATGTGTATCATTTGGCAAGTGAACATGCCCTTGCCTTAATTCTCTCCCTGATAACAAAAGATTGTAACCTACTTCACAGGGCTGTTTGGAAGCCAAAATGTAAAGCAGTCTGCATACTGCAAGTGCACTATAAATTGTTTTTTAAAATTCGTACAAATGATATAGCAATAATTACAACCTCATTTCCGGAGTTCAGATTAACAGCCAGGTATCTCTGTGCAAGAGTTTGTAATGGACAAGCACATAACCGGGGAGGGGGCGTGTTGGAATAATTGAGCAATAGTTTAAAATAATCAAGAAAAATCTGTTCCAATAGCTACTTACGTATATTGCTCCTAACTGAGTCCTGTCTGTATCAAATAACTGGTAGTAATGCTGTACAAAGCTGGAACCAATCTGCTCCCAAATAGGCTTGTCTCCCATTCTGAATCCTCAGTCGGAGCCAGCAACTGAAAAAGAAAAAGCAGTGAAAACTGACAGCCCAGGGCAATGAAAGATGTAACAACACAAGTACAATAGGCTGATCTTTTACCAGAATTGTCCAAATTTTTCATTTAGCCATGATTTTCCTCCCCGAGGATTTGAGCATCACACTACAGAGAACTTTTTCCAGTTTACATTGCTGTAGTGCAGCAGCCTGACTGCAGCATATTTAGGCACCAGCATTAAGGCACTCCTTGGTTCATACCATGACACAGAGGAAAAGAAAACTATGGCTCTTAAAAGCATGAAAAGTCTGCTCTGTAGCAGTACCCTCCTCCTTTGAGCATTTTTGGCCAACATACAACAACCAAAATTAGAACTCAGAATCCAGAAATGTATCATACAAACTAGTGACATCAAATTGTTTAGTTGTATTAATACAGATGTGAAATTCTCCACGCATTTGAAACAAGCAGCAAACATTCTCAGCTCAGTTGGTAGAGCATGAGACTCTAAATCTCAGTATCATGGGTTTGAGCCCCACACTGGGCAAAAGGATTTGTGTACTGCAGGAAGTTGGACTAGATGACCCCTGTGGTTCCTTCCAACTCTACAATTATACAGTTCTATGATTCTATTACCAAGTGTCAATCCGTTGCTCACATATGTCACCAAAGCACCTTCAACTACGCATCTTGGCTAACTTGAAGCTGGGGTAGGCTGCCCAAATTGTGCTGTGTTGTAGAAGTACAGTAGTGTGCTCAAAGCTTTCTCTGTCCTGTGTCCTTAAAAGGCTCATATACAGGAGTCACTCTTTTTCCTTTTTTTCCAGCCTTGACAGCCAAGCAAAATCAATTTGTGCCACAACCCTGGCCTCCAAGGAAGAGGACAGGGCCTTCTCTGACATCATGTTGAGCTCAGGGTCAGATGAAACCACAGGGGTAGAGCCTCTGCCCTTCTCCACCTCAGCAATCAGCTGGGGCTCATCCCTGCTGCTCTGAGTCACATATATACAGAAACAGCAGTAATATGTCTCACTGCTTTCTGAGTACCTGGAGAAGTAAGAAAACTCTCCCTCATGCTGCACTGAATTCAGGCACATTCAAAAAGCAACAGAACTTATTTGGGAGCATCCAAAGCTTCCTTCCACCAGGTCAAATTATCTAGCCCAAAATTGTCTTCTTGGACTTCCGGGTTAGCGCCATCGGCGAATGGCGGAGTTCCTCCAACCGGAGGAACTAGCTCCGTGGAAACTGGGTCTTCCCGCCGCGGCGAAGGTGGGGACCCGCTAGAAATCCCAGGCGGAGGAAGCCTGGGAACGTGGGGTTCGGCAGGGCACCAGGAGCGCCCCCCCTACTCACGGGGGAACCCCTTTCTGGGATTCCGGAGTGAAGTGGGGTGAGCGGCGCGGTGCTGCGAACTGACTGCTACTTTCACAGAGTGAAGCCGCACAGCCATCGCCGGAGAGCGCTAACTTTTCCTGTGGACAATTGGATTTAAAACAAGTACCCGTGAGTAGAAACGGAAAATTGGATCAAGAAATATCTTAATTTGACATCGAAGCGGGAAGGCTCAAAACAGGAAGTCCGCCTTCCGCTTTTTGTATATAGACTGAAGCAAAAACCTTGTAAGCTAAAGCCTGGAAAGTCGTTAAAAAAGCCAAAATTTCCTTCATTTATAACTACTGAAACCCCCTTGGAAGCAGGAGAAAAGGGGGAGGGGGAATTTTGTGTAACGCCTGCAGGAGAGGGAGTGAAGAAAGATAAGTTTCCACCGTCTCTAACCTGGGAACGGGGTGTCAGAGACAGACATTGTTTGAGAGGTTCGTTGACTGTGAATGGAATACTTTGACAGATAGCTAAAGAAGAGAAATAAACTGATTCCAATGTTGCCTTTTGCATCCTAAAGAAACAAAATATCTGAAAAATGAAAGTAATTTTCCTTTGTTGGACTTGCCTTAAAAAGATGGATACAAATAGAAATTGTCTCCTCTAGAGGGAGCTTGCTAAATTGTTGCTGCAGTCTACTTGAGGAATCCACAGCTGTGAGATTAGGATTGTGGGATTAGTCCTTTTGACCTTGACTAAATATGAGCTGGAAGGAAGTTTTGGTGCTTGCTTTATGTAAGACAAATGCTTTGTTGGAACAGATGCATGAGAAGATGGATTTGATGAATGAAAAAATGGATTTGATGACTGTTGTGGCCAATAACTGTGGACAAATAGTGAATAGTGATATAGAAACCATCCAGGGTCCAACTCAGGAACCTGTATTGATTGGGCAAGTGCAGAAGATAATGGAAGAGGCTGTGGCTACACCCCAAATAATACAAATGGAAAGGCCCAAGGCCCTACAGAAGCATAAGCCGCTGTTTTTGAAGATTGAAGTTGGAGTGGGCCAGGGGGGAGTCTGGAGCTGAGGAGGCTCTTAACTTTGGAGAGACTTCGAAATATGCTCGTAAACATTTTTTGGATTATATTGATGAATGTGGGGAGTGGGACTGTGGGGAATGGGCTGGTTTGATGAAGGGAGACGGAGATAATTTTGGGTTGGAACCCCCCCAGAGACCTACTCCTCAATGAGAAAGGAAAGAAATTAAGAAAGAGACCAACAAAAGACAAGGAAAAGTGCAAGTATAAACAAGAAGAAGAAAATCTGCAGAAGGGACATGGAAGAGACTTAAGGGCCTCGGACATAAGACTTCCAGGTTGATGGACTAGATGGAATGGACAGTAAGGACTGACACGACCCGAGACCAGGAAGAAGAGACGCTGGATGAAGATTGGAACAAAATTTATTAAGAAATTTTTTTTATTTAGGGAATTAGTCTAAAACTAATGAATATTAGGGAAAATGTTGGAATGAAACTATATGACTCTAGTAGAAATGATATCAGGAGTTATGTATAACTGAGTATTAAGTTTCAAGCTTTAAGGTATTTTATGGTAAGAAAAGGTTAAATAAATTAAGGTAATTTGAATAACAATATGGGGAAAGATGGAAAGGATCTGTCGAGTTAAATAGGTTAAATTGTTAAGATAAATTATTTAATAATAATTGAGAAAGATGGAAAGAATTTGCTGAAATAACTAACTAAACTAGAATACAAAAAGGGAGGTGTGAGGAGGTCAACGAAACAAGCAAATGGAAGTTAAAGGTATGTAATGTGGGATTTGTGTTTTTTTTCTTCCTTTTTTTTTGCTGTATTGTTGTATTGGTCTTATGTTTTGCGTTTTTTCCTCTTTTTATGCATTGTAGTGTTGTTTTTTATTTTTTCTTTCCTTTCTGTAATTCTGAAATTATTAATAAATATTATTTAAAAAAAAAAAAAATTGTCTTCTTGGATTTTCCCTGAACTCTAATATTCAGGAGGGAAGGAAGTCTTCCTGGTGCTGTGCTCATACCAAAAGCAAGCTGGAAAGTATATTGGGGGTGGAGGCTATAGCTCTTGAAGACAGTGTAGAAAAAGAGAGCATTTCTGTGCACTCTCCCCTGCCATAGATGCTTGTTATATTTCCCCTGCCTATCACATTTTCCCTGTCTTTTCTATAATGCTAGATATTGTAAAGGAAGGAAGCCCAATAACAACTGCATTACTGAAATATAGTGCAGTGCTCTGGAAATCTGCCCAGCCTAATAGCAAGAACAAAAGGTGACAGAGAACTTGTATGCCCCAATTTTCTATGATAAAGCAGAGCCAAACACAGATTATCATAGGAGTCCATTCACTATCTATTTGCAAGACTGTTCCAACTCTACAATTCTGTATCACCAGTTTGGGCATCACTTTCCTTCTGTTGACTTAGATCAACAACTTCCTACAATGTAAACTTCAAGGCAAAACTTTAAGAGTGAGGGGGAACTATGCATTCTTCTGAATGGCAGCAAACAGAAACACACCTATTTATCGTGTAAGCAGATCTCTAAAGTTGCAAGGTACCGTATTTTTCGCACCATAGGATGCACCGGACAATAGGACGCACTTTGTTTTAGAGGGGGGAGAACAAGAAAAAAAAATTCTCCCCCTCTCTGCCCAGCGCCCCTTCAGCGAAGCGGCAGGAGGCGCTGCGCAGAGAGGGGGAGAACTGTCCCCCGCTTGTTTTCCCGCTCTAAAACAAGGTGCCGTTCAGGCGGCTACCTTGGAAGCCTGGAGAGCGAGAGGGTCGGTGTGCACTGACCCATCTCGCTCTCCAGGCTTCAGGTTCCTTCGACCTGCTCTTTGGGGCTGGCGGGGGAAGCCCACCACCAGCCCCAAAGAGCAGGTCAGGAGCAGCGGAAGGCGCAGCGGAGAGGCTCCTGCCATAGCCGCGCGTCACCTCTCCAGCCGGGAGAGGGTCACAGGGGGCCTCTTTAGCCCCGCGCGTGCTCTCCCGGCTGGGGAGGTGACGCGCGGCTATAGAGGCTCCTGCCATAGCCGCGCGTCACCTCTCTAGCCGGGAGAGGGTCGCGGGGGGCTGCTTTAGCCCCGCGCGCGCTCTCCCGGCTGGAGAGGTGACGTGCGGCTACAGAGGCTCCTGCCATAGCCACGCGTCACCTCTCCAGCCGGGAGAGGGTCGCGGGGGGCTGCTTTAGCCCCGCGCGCGCTCTCCCGTCTGGAGAGGTGATGCGCGGCTATAGAGGCTCCTGCCATAGCCGCGCGTCACCTCTCCAGCCGGGAGAGGGTCGCGGGGGGCTGCTTTAGCCCCGCGCGTGCTCTCCCGGGGCTATGGCGTCTTCGCTCCATAGGATGCACACACATTTCCCCTTCATTTTTGAGCGAAAAATACGGTAGATGAACGGAAGATCAAGGTAGATAACTCTCCAAAGAGGATATTATGGTTTGGCTGATTAGCATGGGTAGCCTCAAGCATTTCCTACAAGACCACCAAAGCCATTTAAAGTGCTTGATAAGAGAAAAGGATAAAGGACCAATTATTCTAGGAGGACATGCACAAAACATTTAGATAGGTCTAATGTTGATAAATGTTTGAGGCATAAAAGGAACAAAGTAGAAAGCTAGAGAGACTAATGAGAGAAAGCTCAGGGCAAACAGCTAAACTGTCCAATGTTTTCTGAGAGCAACTACACACAGCTTGACTTGCACATTCATTTTAATCTGGGATTAATTTGACCATGGAAACATGGTCAGTCAGTTCTGAGGTGGTGTTCGGAGTTTCTGAATAGACATCTATTCTTTAAAATCCTACATAAATCCAAATTGAGAGCCAGCATGAGATTTGTAGGCATTTGGGCAACCAATTAACCAAGCTTTCTCCCACCCTGGAATAGATAAATATCAACATCAGCTAAAAATTCAGCAGTGAAGGGAAACCAAGACCTATTGGTAAAGCTAGCACACGGGGTGGGAGTAGGGAACCATGAAAGTATCTGAGCAGACTGAAAATAGTATCCTAACTTGTAACTAAAAAAATAATTCCTATGGGTCAGGGATGGTGAACATGTGGTACTTCAGATGTTGTTGGACTACAATTCCCATCATCCTTTACCATTGACCACGTTAGCCAATAACATATGGAAAACCACAGGCTTCCCAGCCCTGCTCTAGACAATGCTTTGACAAGCTTCAGCCCATAATAGAAGCAATTTGCTCATCTCTTGCAATGTAATTGTGCTCTTGAATGAAGAGCTTTCCTAATTTATTTTGATTAATCCATGTACCAAACACAATATCCAAGTGTTCTCAACTGCCTCACCTCTGTCAGTCTCTCTTGTCCTCTGTACAGTTGCCAGATAGTTCTAAGATGTTTTAGCTGATTTCTGGGAGTCTGTTACTGGATGGTGTATTAGTTTCTGGTTTAGATTATTGACGTACTTTGTTACAAACTTAATGTGGCTTGCCCACAGCCCTTTGGATAGAAAAAAAGAAAAGAAGAAACCTTAATGGTATAAATCTACTATTACTTCTCTTTTTAATTTTGGTTCTTGAATAGCAGTTAAAGGTCAGTTTGCAGAGTAGGCCAACAACTTTAACACTTTTCCCTAGGAGCAATGCAGATTGTTATTACTACAATAACTCCTTGATTCTTACCAGGAGGTGGACCCAACATGTCAGGCACTGAAAACATAGAGAAGTCTGATGCTTAGATCTCAAACATAACAGAATTTTTTTGTTTTTAATTTACAGTCATACCTTAGGTTACAGACACTTCAGGTTGCGCGTTTTTGGGTTGTGCACCGCGCCAAACCCGGAAGTACCGGAATGGGTTACTTCCGGGTTTCGGCGCTTTGCGCAGATGCAGCACTGCGGGTTGTGAACGTGCCTCCCGCACGGATCACGTTCGCAACCCGTGTGTCCACTGTATATCTGAATTCTAAAAAAGTTTGTTCTTCTTCTTCTTCTTTTTTTTACACGAATACACATTGGTCACTTACATGATGATAAAGTGTTACTCTAATATCTAGTGCTTTCTCTCATTATGCAAACACCCATGGCCAGCGATGGGTACCTGTAGCCCTTCAAATGTTGCTGAATTACAAATCCCATCATTCTTGACTACTGGGTATGCTGCCAGGTTCTGTTGAGAATTGGGAATACAACAACATATGGAGGGCCAGGGGGTTCCCCCATCCCTAAGGTATCTTCAGCTCTCTATGCCTTTGTGGACCAGATAAGTGCCTCTTCTTACAGTATGATTCTCATTCCCTTCTACGTGTGCATTAACATTTAGGGTTACTATTGCCTTGCACAAAAACACTGGCACCTTTCCTCATCATAAAATCACTTCACAATGTGGTTAAAATACATTTCAGGATTAAATGAAAATGCAACTATGAGAAGCATGCATATCTAGGGTGGGGAATATTTGTGGCTTCTTTGGCCAGACCCTTATCAATACTGATGGGGGGGGGGACTACCAACCTGTCAATCGCCTGACATAACAACGATATCAGGTGCAAAGTGCTGCTAAAATAGGATGTTCTTCTCCTTTGTATTAACAGCAGTTTGAACGGAATCCAGCTGAAGTAAGCAGGATTTAACCTACGTTCATCAGCTGAAGAACAGGTATGCACAACCAATGCATGATTTAACACCACCCAACAAAAGATGTTACAAGTGATATCAGCTGGTGAGGGGGCTGTGCTTTGGGGGAAATGGCCTCACCAGCCAACTTGAATCCCCTGGTGAGTCAAGGTTGGCCTGTGGGCCTGAGGTTTCCTACCCTTTCTTTACAGCACCAGTAGGTTCTAAACTGCTTTTGAAACTACTATATATGCTTTTGGGGAAAAGGTGGGATGCAAATGTTATAATAAATAAAATAAGCAGTAACATGTTTTCACACGAATACCCTTCTCAACCTTGCAAATAAGTCCACAAACATTAGCTCACAACATGTTTTACTACCTCTTCTGTTTATTTCTGGGCATGGTAGCATGTGCACTGACCACATATTGTTTGGATCACAGTAATGTGCTATCTATGAGGCTGCCTTTAAAGAGCTTTTCGAAACTTCAGCTGGTTCAGAACGCTGTACCTGGACTCGAGCAGGGCCTCTTATAGGGACTATGCAATACCACAAATACAATACCTTCATCACTACCAATTCATTTACAGGAACAATGCAAAAAGCCTGGGACAATATTACTTGAAGGACTGCTATCTCCAGTACGAGCTGACACGAATCTTGAGATCTTCCAAAGACACCCTTCTCAGTGGCTATACCTAAGCTTTCTCATTCTCTTCCCCAGGGAGAGCCATCTAGACCCTCTCTATGACATCCTTCCGCTGTCAGGTGTGTGTGTGTGTGTGTGTGTGTGTGTGTGTATATGTATATATATCTACCTAAAACAGGCATCTAGCTTTTGGATTAGCTATATTTTTAAATTTTTACCTTAACATGTTCAAATATAATTACTGTTTGCTGTTTTATTACTGACTAATTTTATCTGGTCTTATTTTTATTTTATTGTTAGGTTGTGGTTTTCCCCCAAACTACTGTATTTTTATTATTATAAGCCGCCTTGAGTGCTACATGTAGAAAGGCGGGATTTACACTGAAAGAAATAAATAAATAAAAGGAAAAAGAATCAACCTTTATAATGCTTCTGTGCCTGGTTGCCTGGAGGAGATTCATATTCGCCACAGGCGAGTGGCTGTTCTTTCTAAAGAGCAATAGTCCACTCAGTAGAAAACCTCAATCTCTTTCATTCCTAATGGCAGGCAAAAAGAACCACTGTTTTAATACTGTATTAAATTGAGTTAATACTGTATTGTTGATACGATAACAAGAATATAACTTTCAAGGATAAGCACAGGCTAGGGAGAAATTCAGTTTTGTAGATGTATCCATTACTGACTTGAAGCTGTTCTGCTGACATTTTGTTGACTGGAGCGTATGTTCAAGAAAAAAAATTACTGTTCATTTTATTTCCTACCAATAGTACATGACATAAGCATCATCTTAAGCACTTGGATTAATCATTGTGACATCCTATAGAATCTACAAATGCTTACATTCAAATCTGTATTCATCACAGTTCTATCTACAGATAACTGCATTGTTCCTATGCACTCTCCTCCACCAATTACTCACAATACTATACCCAGTTCCACATTGCACAAGACTAAGGAGGAATGCGTCACTCACTGTGGAGTTCCATCAGTTTCTTGGTTTCATTTGTACTAACAGAAATCATGAAGTAAAATTTGTAAGTTCATTTTTCAATTTTAGGAGAGCACTACATTGCAACACTGAAGGAGGAAAACTGCAACATTCATAGCTATTATTTTATATTTAAAAATCCTGCAAGGTCAATGAAATGGCAGAGGCACCTATATGGGTTGGAGGTAACAGTTTCTTCATATTAAAAAAATCTTTTATTTTTATTAAACACCTAGATGTGCAATCCTGCTCTTCAATAGTATAACAATGAAAAGCACCGCTGCCACAGCATTAATCTATTATGGATCAGCCAGCTATGTGCAGTTCATAGATTTTATTTATTTTTTAAACATGTTTGTGATTTCTGTCTCTCCAAGATTATAACTACTCAATAAAATTCCAATAAATTAAAACTTTTCTTGTGGGAAATCCACCCTCCTTTTTGAACTCTGAAGAGGTAGGCTAAGATAAACTCCTCTGGAAGGCAGTTCCAGAATGTAGGGGCCATGACTAAGAAGGCCGTTTCCCTGTATCTATTCTTGGATAAATGGAATATGGAGGAGTCCCTGGCAATTGTAATGGGGAAGCAGGTTCAGAGAGATGCTGGCATTCTAGGTCACTCTGGCCCCCAAACATACATGTTACATACCTATGCCTAGCATACTAGCTCTTGAAATGAACAGTCACTAATATCTTCTTAGACAACTACTATTCATTCACTAGTCACCCTTTATGGCACCTTTTCCAATAATGCCAGCTGCCTCATAAAATTAAGCAGCATATTACAACTGTATCAGGGATTAGGAATATTTTTCCTGTTGAGGGTTGCATTTCATTGGTGTAATATGATGCATGATGGTGGTAGATGGGACCTGAGCCAAAAGTGGGCAGAACTTGGTCACACAGTCAATCCAGGCACATCTCTACCTGTCCCACACTTGATGTCACATATGACAGACGTGGGGCAAGTGAACACAGTTGGAAGAAAACAGTATTGCAGAGCAAATTTGGCACACTGACTGCAAGTTCTCCACCCCTGATTTATAGGAATACATTTTATTTCAATGCTTTACTTGTCATTCTAACACTGATGATCAGCTGACTGCTGCAGTTAAGTGGTATATACCTCAACAGACTAGAAAAGCCTTCACCAACATGATGCCATTCAAAGACTGTTAAACACCAATGTGACGCCCTTCAGAAGCAGTACCTATCTTTCCTAACTACTAGGCATGCAAGCTGAGATGTGTGCAAGCTGGGAGTCCAATATGAAGGGCACTAGGCTGGAGAACGCTGACCTAAAATATCTCATTTATCTTCCGCACTTTTAAGAATTCTCACATATCTGCTTGCTTCCTACCCCCATTCAATAAAAAAATCAAACATCTCAATATCTTGGATCCTAGAAAACTGGTGGCAATTTCTAGGCACTTGATTTGGGGGGGGGGTATTTGAGATTTATATCCCAGCTTTATTTCATCATGGAAGGCAACATACATGATTGTCTCTTATCAAGGGTCTTACTAGACAAGACTGTTCTCTCATAAGCTTTCAAGGCCATGCCTTGGGACAACACTCTTCAAATCACTTAACTTTTCTCATTTTCCAGCAGATAATAATTAAGGCCAATCTACCTTGGATTTCATTAACTTGGATACTTTTGTATCATACATAGTTTTTGTCACCTTAGTTTTTTCTTTTACAAATAATTAATCTGAAACAGAAAAATTGCTGATATAAATACCCAGGTCAAAATAATATTCTTTTCTTGTTCAGAAAATTATTCAAACCTGTCCGTTCTCAAATTTAGTTTTTGATCACGAGATTTTTTTTTAAAAAAACCTTCAAGGATTTCATCAGGTCTGTCCAATGAATGGATCAGTCTTACAAGAATGCTGGATTCACACTCACTTGGGAGTTCAAAAACAAATGACTACACTTTTGTTATTTACCTGTGGTTTTCGATATATGCTTTCTCACAGGCAACTGGAGGTAGCCCTCAGAGACTGTCAGTGAACCCCTTTAGTACATTCACTGAGAAGAAACTTCCACTCAGGTAGGTGGGACTAGGGTTGCAGCCTAAGTTTTAATGAACAAACAAATTTCGACGTGTAGGGCCTTAACGTTTTTGACAACCCTCTACTAAAACCTATTGAATATCAGATATCGGCCGATTGTAAAAAGGACGTATTGGAGCAAACCCTGTCCGAACTGCAAATAGCAATTAACAAATATAAATTTGGGGAGTTCTTTGCCCAAGGCCCCAAACTTTCAAACAGTGCGCTCCTGGTGTATCCAAGAAGGAATCAAGAAGCACGTAATGGAGAAAGCGCACACATGGGAAAGGGTGGACACATTCACACATGCACACCCACATGGGTTTATCACCCCCCCCCCAAATGCGTGGAGAGTCTTACACGATCCCATGCTATTAATCACTAGCAAACAGGGAGGGGAAGGAGAAGCAACAGAATTCAGTAGTAACTCAGGAACACACCCTTATCCTCGCCCTTCCCCAACTCCTAAGGCCTCGAAGCAGCCGAAGAGAGAGGCGGGCGGGCCGGCAAACAGGCGGACAGCGCCCAGGCCCAGCACAGGAGTTTGAGAGGCGGGAAAGAAGCCCCGCTGCTTCTATGTCTTTCACTTCAGGTTTCCACCTCAGGCGCCTCGCAGTACTCACCTCGCAAGCTCCCCCTCGGCTAATGGCGGCGGCGGCGGCGGCGGCAGCAGAGGCGGCGGCCCCGAGTGCGGCCCGAACCCACTCAGCGCTCCCTCTCTCCGCGCTTCGCCCGCCCTCCCCGCCTCTTCCGGCCACGCCCTCTGGCGCGCGCGCGCCAGCCATGCTGGGAAAAAGAGTTCCACCCGCAGCCCTTCGACTCCGGGACGCCTCTGAAAAAGGGGGAGCACTACAACTCCTAGCATACAACGCGCGGCAGGCTCTCGGGGCAAAGCATTGTGGGGGTTTGTTTTGTTTTAAAACGGTTTGTGCACGCAAAAAACGGAGGGCGACGCCCTTCTGAAGCACCAGATTTACCCGCTTGCTTGTTTGACTTATATACCGCCCTTCATCGTAAGATCTCAGGGCGGTTCACACGATAAACCTGCGGGATGCAGGCAGGATAGCTTTGCTGAGAGCGAATACCTTCCGTAGCATACATTTTGCCACATGCAGCATGGGGTTAATGGCAGATGCCGTGCTTACAGATGCCCCGCATCCATCTCTGGCAATCTCCCGCCACATAGGATCAGGGATGGGAACATCTCCGCCGAGCCTACTGGACAGCAGCTGTCAGCCAGAGCAGACGCACGCTATGTCATAGTAGTTCAGCAATGGCAACTTAATATGTTCAGACAAGGTGAACAGTGCTTTATTTGCGCCACAAACGATGCCTGTGTTTCATCTGTCACCTGGAGAACTAGAATAATAGTATAATAATAATTAAAAACTTTGCTTGTGTAAAATGGAGTAAAGGCATTTGTCGAAATTTATCTTCCCAACACATTTGCAAGTATATTGTTAGAATTATGGAAGTGAACCACTTGAAGTAACAACAGCACAACCTTTGTTAACTTGGGGCCCTCCAGTTGTTGGACTGCAGCTCCCATCAGTCCTAACTAGTATACTAAGACTGATGGGAGATACAGTCCAGCAACATCTAGGGGGCACCAGGTTGGCAAAGGCAGCATAATGAACCTATGCTGTACAGACAACATTATGTTTATCTGTGGTGGGATCCACCACATAAGAAAAATGTTTAGTAACACCACAACTTTAACTAAACCAAAGGTAGGGCTGGCCTTAGAAAAAGGTGGCTGACTTTGTTGCAGGGGGTAGCAGACATAGCTGTCAACAGTCCACAAATAATAAGCCTCTTAGAGCGAAATATACATCAGGAGGCTTAGCTTGGTCAGAATTGAGTATACACTTCCAGAGTTAATGCTAAATACATTACTTCTGGTAAATGAGCCACTATAGCTGCTGGAGGGGTGTAAAAATTTGTGTCCCGGGCTTTTTCGTCTACCCATGTACTATTTGAATCCAAAGGGGCACATTGGCTGCCAGATGTGAAATTTATATAGCTGCAAAGGCTGAGGCTGATGAAGAAGCCAGAGATCATATTGGCTGGGAGTCCTGAAAGACCTGCTCCACCTGGCCTGGGAGAGTGAAACCCTGACGACTCCAGCTACAAAAGCTGAGGCTGCTAAACAGACTCTCGGGCTGGGGTATTGTTTTGTGGGGGTTGCTGCTTTTGTGTTGTTGTTTTTGTATCTTTGTTTTTTATTTTGTTGTGATTTATGTGGAAATTAGGGACGCGGGTGGCGCTGTGGGTAAAACCTCAGCGCCTAGGACTTGCCGATCGCATGGTCGGCGGTTCGAATCCCCGCGGCGGGGTGCGCTCCCGTCGTTCAGTCCCAGCGCCTGCCAACCTAGCAATTCGAAAGCACCCCCGGGTGCAAGTAGATAAATAGGGACCGCTTACCAGTGGGAAGGTAAACGGCGTTCCATGTGCTGCGTTGGCTCGCCAGATGCAGCTTGTCACGCTGGCCACGTGACCCGGAAGTGTCTGCGGACAGCGCTGGCTCCTGGCCCATAGAGTGAGATGAGCGCACAACCCTAGAGTCTGGCAAGACTGGCCCATACGGGCAGGGGTACCTTTACCTTTATGTGGAAATTATTCAGTTTGATTTTGTATTTTTTAATGCTTAATTTATTGTTTATGACTACATTTGTTATGTTGTAGCTATGTATTTTTTTCATGTTGTATGCTGCCATGACCATGATTTGGACTGTGAAAATGGAATTATGTGTGTATTTATCCTTGTGCCTTCTGAGCCCTCTCACCATCAGCAGAGAGCAGCAGTAGTGTTGTGATCTTCCACCTGCACTCAGCCTACATCTCATATTTGTATAAAGCAGAGATGGGTCCAGGAACCAAAAGACTACTGTTTGTGACAGGGAAACGAACAGCAGAGAGAGAGAGAGAGAGAGAGAGAGGCCAAACCCTGCCACCTCCTTGTGAAGGGGAGAGAAGGGAAAAAATGCTAGCACTTGACTTAAGTGGTGCATAACCATCTCTAACCAGCTCTACGGTTCTCTGATTCTATATGGATGCTTTAGCTGAGATTCCTACATAGCGGAGAGTTGGACTAGATGACCCTTGGGTCTCTTCCAGCTCTAAGATTCTATTATCTTCGCATGCCTAGCGGCTTTGCTGCTCCAAAAGCAACAGCAAAGATGCTGAGGCTAACAGGTGATGTCTACCTTATCTCCCTGTTCCTCCTGTGTACTGGTAGTTAAATCCTGCCACTCTGTGAAGGGGAGACAAGAAGGATGAAAAAGCGAAAATGTATGGTGTGGGAGGTGGAGCAGGCTGGGAAGGGGACACAAAGCACAGGCACTTGGCGACTGTGCCATGTGCCAGCTCCTCCTCCCTTACTTAGAAGCAAGCCTCCCTGAATTTAATGGGGCTTCCAGCCAATAATGCTTACAAAGGGCTGTAGGCTTTGTTATGGCTAGATTCAGATTCTTTTGAAAGAACAGAGGTTAGCGGCTCATTTTATTACATTGCTGTTTCCCATCGGTCCTCCATTATAGAACCCTAAAGACTCTAATGTGGACTTCTGGGCACCGACTGACCAGACTCAGAACTCCTTCACTTTAGCAAACCCCTCATGGTTTCAGTCAATGACTGGGATCCTGATCCATGGCAATACAGGACTCTGAGGCTACCCATGTAGTCCAAGCAGAGGCCAAACATATGTTATAGGAGGGTAGAAACCTTAGACACTATGCATGTAAAAGTACAGGAACACCGTTCACAAAAATGTTGTCTGAATGTCCAGCATAAATGTAGTCAGAAAAACGAAAATCCAGTATAGCTGCAAGTCAATTAGAAACACCAAGTCAGGCAAGAAGATCCATTATTCCACCATACACAAAAAATTATGACACATCACTAGGTGTCAGTTCACATTTAAGAAAGAAAAATGATGAAATCATATTAAGAATTATGTGGAGCCTGGAAAAAGAGACTTGAATATCAACCTGTTCTGATTAGCAGAAAGAAAAAATACATGTGTCAGTTGCAACCATATGTACTCTTCATCACCTTGTCGTGGTGAGTGGGCTTGCACATTCCTATGACCCTTGTGAGCGAAGCCGTCAGGTGTCTTGTACTCCCAGCAGGGTCAACTAAGATAAGGTCACGGGGAAGGAGCTAGACAAAGAATGAGCCAAGAAGTCCTCAATGGCAGAACGGGCAGAAGATAACAAGCAGTATGTTACAAGGGTTGTGAAGGCGGATGAAGGCTGAAGCAGATAAGAATCTACCAGTCGTCGTGATACTCATGCCATCAGAATAGAGCTTTACTGCGAAGATTGTTTGTTGGTCAGCGTGCACTGATCTACACACATAAAGCAAATTCACACACAGGCGTCTTCCAAAAATCCATCCCAGATAAGAATGGCTTTCCAAGTGAACCATTCACAGTGGGATCAGGTGTTAAACAGGCTTGTGTTATCATCCCAACTCTACTTATTATTTTCATCGCCATGATCCTACACTTCGTTGAAGTGAAACGCCCCATTGGAGTAAAAATCATATATCGAACAGATGGAAAGCTCTTTAATCCGAGTAGGCTGAAAGAAAAGAGTAAGGTTACCATAACTTCTGTCATAGAGCTTCAGTATGCTGATTGCAATGTAGCATGTGCACACTCAGAGAATGACCTCCAAACCATCCTAAATATCTTCACAGAAGCTTACGAAAAGCTTGGTCTATCGCTCAACATCCAAAAAACCAAAGTGCTGCACCAACAAGCACAAAACAACCCCTCTGCAGTGCCACAAATCAAACTCCTTGGTGTAACGTTGGAAAATGCTGAACACTTCTCCTACCTGGGCCGTTCTCTTTTCACAAGAGCCGGCATTGATGCCAAAATCCAGCATCGCCTGAGCTCTGCGAGTGCAGCTTTCTCCTGATTGAAGTACAGAGTGTTTGAGGACCAGGACATTCGTAGGGAAACCAAAATGCTTGTTTACAAACCTATTGTACTACCAACCTTACTGTATGAACTTATAAACGCCATCTCCAACTCCTTGAAATCCAGCAGGAAGACAGGCAATTAATGCCAGTGTACTGAAAGAAGCAAAGATCACCAGTGTCAAAACAATGATTCTTCAACATCAACTTTTTGAAATGGTCATGTTGTTTGGATGCCTGATTATCATCTTCCAAATCAACTACTCTATTCCAAAGTATAATGCTGATGGTCAACAAAAGAGTTTTAAAGACTCTTTCAAGGCAAATCTTTAAAAATGTAGTTTAAACACCAACAATTGGGAAACACTGGCCTGTTTGTGCTCCAATTGGAGAACAGCCTTTACCAAAGGTGTCATGGACTTTGAAGATGCTCAAACTCAGGATGAAATTGAGAAACGTGCTCAGAGGAAGGCATGTTTGGCAAACCCTCACCATGATCAACTCCCATCCCGAAACCTATGTCCCCACTGTGGAAGGACATGTGGATTCAAAACGGACTCACGGTTACGTGTTCATGGAAGACAATCTTACTCAGCTACAAGTGATCACCAAAGAAGAAGACCTTGCAAATAAAAGTCTCTTAACCAAGTGAGATAGAAAACAAAACACTGAAATGTGTTTAATCAAAGCAGAAACAAGCAAATGCCATGGAGTAGGTGGAGGAAGAAAGAACTATTAGATGTTACAGACAAATTACAGACTGCAGTACTGTATAACAAAAACAAAATATATTTTATTCAAATTAAGCATATTTGCTAGCACCTCAGGATAA